TGTGAGAACATCTGTAGCACGGTTTTTGACATCTATGTGTCCATCCTTCATAGCATCTCTGATAAAATACTCCTTGATACTGATATGTTTGGATTTAGTGCTTATATTTGGGTTCTTGACCAACTTTTGCGCGGCTTGATTATCATTATAAATATCAATGATTCCTGTTTTTATATTCAGATCATTCAGCAAGTTTTTCTTGTATATGGCTTCTTTCGATGCCTCCGTTAGAGCTATGTACTCCGCCTCAGCTGTACTAATGCGACTGTTCTTTGCTTCTTTGCCTCCCAACTTATTGGTGTTCCGCCATATGTAAATACGTAGCCTGTCACTGAGCGACGATCAATGGCACGCGATGCCCAATCAGCATCAGCTGTTCCTTCTAGCTTCATGTTTCCTTTTATGTAAGTCAGACCTAAGTCTTTAGTTCCTTGTAAATATCAAAGAAATCTTTTCGCTGCTTGAAAATGTTCAGATGTGTAGCAGTTGTTAAACTGGCTAAGGTGACTTACTGCAAACATTATATCAGGACGTGTGGCAACAGGTAAATACATAAGTGACCCTATAAGGTTTTGGTAGGGTATGTCCCTTTCCTTTGTTGGACCTTTAGTTAATTTCAGTCCTGTATCCATGGGAGTAGATGCAGGTTTGCAATCTTTGCATCCAATTTTTTTTAATATAGTTTCAATATACTGTCTTTGTTTCAGTATCATTTGCTTTTCATCTCTTTCGAAAGTTATTCCGAGACAGTAATTAATTTCCCCCTTTTTTTCTCATTTCAAATCTCTGGATAAGTAATTTCTTAATATTGTCTATTCTTTCTTGAGATTTGCAAGCAATTATAATATCATCCACATATATACTAATAATAATAGTTTCTCCGTCTTTCGCGTATATGTACATGCATGGATCAACTTTGGTAGGTTTTGGAAACCTATTGATTTTAATTCGGCATCTAGTACTGTTTTACAGTCAGGAAAACAGTGGTACAAGAATCCATAGACGGCTTTATTTAATTTGCATACTGTGTTTTCTTTATCTTGGTTTAAATCAAGTTTTTTGATTAATTTCTGCATCCTTTGTAGATTTAATTATCTTTTCTAGATATTCTTCTATATTTTTCGACTTTTTCATATAGATTTCTTCTTCCATATCTCCGTTTAAAAATGCAGTGCCAATATCAATCTGGTTCAAATGCATATTTTTCTATACAGCTAAAGCCCCTAATAATCTTATTGAACGTGAATGAAGTCGAGTCACAGGTGCGAATACTTCCTGGTAGTCAACACCGGGTATTTGTGAAAATCCTCAGGCTACTAGTCGAGCCTTTTTGCGTACAATATTGCCATCTGTTCTTAATTTATCTTTAAGAATCATCTTGCTGTCAAAGACGTTTCTATAAGGTGGTTTCTTAATAATAGACCAGGTATCATTTTTAAGTGTGCTGTTATTTCAGTAATTATTGCATCATTCCATTTTAGATCATCTTCTTCGTTCATGCAAGCTGTGCATATGTAATCTTTTGTCCAAACTGGTGGTTTTCTAGTTCTTTGAGGTCTTTCATTCTCTAAAATATCATTTCTTTCTATTGCCTTAGCGTTTGTTACTTCATTGCGATCTGCAACAGAATTATCATCAGTTTGTATTACTTCATTTTCAATTATTTCATTATGATCAAAAATGTTTTCATTGTTTTGTTGCAATTCATTTTGCAATTCGTTTTCTTCATAATTATTGTGAATATCAGCGAATATTTCACAATCTTCTGGTTGTTGATATACTTCATTATTTTCTTTTTTATTATCAAAAAAATATATCTATTAACTTCTTTTCATTCTTCTTTTCTGATTTATCAATTTTATTTTTATTTTCGTAATATAATTTATTAATTACTTTTACATCTCTGCTTACAATTACGTGACGCGTTTCTGGTACTAATATTCTGTAAGCTTTACTATTTTCCGAATATCCAAGAAATATTCCTTCAGTTACTTTTGATGTAAACTTTTTCTTTTGTTTTTTGTTTTTATTCAATACGAATGCTTTCGATCCGAAAATTTGTAAGTGCTGCACGGAAGGCTTTCTTCCAACCCATATTTCAAATGGAGTTTTGTTTTTCGATTACTTTAGATGGAGTACGATTTAATAAATAATTTGCGGTGGATACAGCTTCAGCCCAATATTTTTCTGGCATGTTACCATCTATTAATAGGCATCAGGCCCTTTCTTGTACGCTCCTATTTTTCTTTCAGCTGTTCCATTCTGCTGCAGTGTGTATGCACAGCTAAGTCTTCGACTATTTCAAGACGTTGTGTCGTTCTCAAGTTTTGATTATTTTTGGGAAAAGGTAGTCGGGTCATCTTTCCTTTCATGCATACTTCGCATTCATTTAATTTTTGATGCATGTCAAACTTGAGTCATTCATTGCTTCATCTTTTAAAGCTTGTTTTAAACTTGTTTCATTTATATGTTCAAGTTTTCTGTGCCAATCATCAATTTCAGCATTAAAAGTAGTTTCTTCTTGGCATTTAAAATCTTTATCATCCTTTTTGTCCATTAAGTAGTAAAGCCCATTAATATTTTTAGCTATAAGTTCAATTTTCCTCGTTTTCAAATCTTTACTGTCGCTGTATTTTCTTTGAATAGTACGGTTTTTCCTTTTTCGTTATTTTTGAAACAGACAATAGTTTGGTTGAGAGATTTGTTACCTACAGGCAGTGTTCTAGTTTAATGTTTTTATCATCAACTTTTATTTGCACGTTTCCTCTTCCTTCAATTTTAGCAGTGCTGTCATCGGCTGCTAATTTGAGTATGCCATCAGATTTGTTTATTTGTGAGAAACTCTTCAAGTTGTGACACATTTGCGATGTGCATCCACTATCAATACACCTTCTCTTTGTATTTTTATTTGGTTCCGTAACTAAACAAATGTTTTGTGCAGCATTAGATCGTTCTTGTTTCTTACGGTCATTACGGAATCGGCAATTTTTTTGTTTTATGCCTTCACTTTTTACAAATCTGGCAGAAATCTTGTTTATTTTTTTTTCTATAGGGTACATAATTTTTTTTTTGTATATATTCCGTTGGTTTCAACTATAATGTCTTCAGTGTATTTACAAGCTTCGGTTCCTTCTAAAATTTTTATCTTTAGCTCCTCTGGAGAAGGTTGTTTATCACGCGATTCGATCGCTATGAGAAAATTCTCGAATTTCGATGATAAGGAGTAGAGCATTATGACTGATAAAAGATCTGCATTTTTATCGACATTCATGTTGGCGAGTTTATCTACAATGTCTGTTAAATTGTAATTGTCGTGCTCTCATCTTAAATCATCACCTTCTTTATATTTTGCAACAATTAATTGTTTGAGGAGCGAAGCCTTCTTAGTATGTCGCTTACTTTCATATATATCCTCGAGTTTTTGCCATATATCTTTAGCAGTTAAACAGTTTTTTACATATTTTATTTCTTGAGATGAAATTATCACAAGAAGTTCTGACCTGGCAAGGAATTCATTGTCTTCATAATTTGCAATAACCTCAGGATCTTTTTCAGTATTCGGTGGTTTAGGATTTAGAACATAATTCCACAAACCTGCTTTTATGATAACGGCTTTTGCCTGAACCTTCCAAGTGTCATAATTATTTCTGTTTAGTAGCTCAATACGGTACGAGGTGGTAGCCATTTTGGTTTTATATCACTTCCAGTCCCTTTTATTTATTTAACATTTAGACAACCTTCGTCGCCTTTTAAACGACGTGACAGAAACCTGAACAGGCATTGAGTATAAGCCCATGCTGAGATATCTTTTGAGGCCCTTGCGCCTAGTGACTCTACGGAGCGTCCGCATAGGCAAACTAAGAGTTTGCCGGCCTCCCATTCCGGTACTACTAATAATTTCGTGGACCCCAATTAGCAGCCTACACATGATACGCGTGCTGTTATTATTTAAAAGCGAGTCTGCATACGTTGGTTTCATCATCGCGTAGTTATTTACGAAACTTTCAAAACTTTCCCAAAATTTCAATCCAAAAATCTAGGTTGTCTCGTGATTGAATTGAGGACTCCGTGGCGTACCTGCTAACGTATTGGCTACGGCGTCGGGGGTCGTGGGTTCGATTCCCAACTATTTGTGTGACCCACAAATAATTGTTTCGCATCTGGGTGTTTGTCCACGTGAAATCTATGTTTGTAAAACGTCCTTACAACACAGGGTAATGTTATCCTAAGGTAAGGGCAATGTTTTTAAAGAAAAAAGAAAGAAGAAGAAAGATACCATTTCCACCTTATTACTTCTATTAGGTGTCTCTATCGACATCGTGGGATCCGCCAAACAAAGATGTCAAAGTATTGCATAATACAAAAATATTGTGGGATAAAATCGTATAGATGAAAAATTGTATAATAAAAATTTTACATCGATTATGTACTTAGTAAAAAAAACTGAATTATGAGATTTTGTGGTTAAGTTAACAAATTCACCAAAAACTGTATTTAACAATAATTTTAGTGGCAACACTAAGTCACAATTTCTTGATTATCTAAATGTTAGGATAATGTTTGATTTGTCCTGGATATAAATAGTTAACATAATGTTTCTGTGAGTATTTGAAAATATTATACGGAAGAAAATATATTAGATTCTAATGACCAACTTTCCATACTTTTCTCTGGGAGTGTCGTCCAGATGCGCTGACCTTCGTTTTGATGCACAACGCACAACAAAGCATCAAACTGACGGGTGCCCTATTTTCACAACAATCTTTGGATTTATTAATTACTTTAGTGAAAACAATTTATTATTATTTTATTATATATAATGTGAATAAGAATTTAAACACACGAAGTGTCGCGTATGTGAATATCAAACTATAATGGATTCGGCGGCTACGCAAACAACTTCTAATAGTGTGTGTTACAATACGACAGCCAAGACTTTCTTTTTAACTTTTAGGATAGCACTAGTAGTCGTGGAAAAATAAATCAAAATTCCGATCAAAATGAATGAGAGGGATATTCCAAGTGTCCCTATTACAACATTAGCAGGTGTAGCCAGTTTGACAGACTGTAAGTACTTGCAATCTTATAATAATTATAACAATTTTTGAGACAAGTTATAGTTTATTTATGTATGTATTGCTTTTATTCTTCAGAGCATCTATAATATGTTCCATAAATATTTTGGAAGTCCGTTTTTTATTCTAATTATGTACATTTTATTAAAGTAATTAGATAATATTTAAATTATTTCTTGTAAAATATTAAAATATTTGCTGATATATCATAATAAATCAATTAAATAAGCTGAAGTTTACAATAAATTATAAATTGTTATAAAAAGTTATGTATGAACATTTTTGCTTCTACTGTGCAAAATTTTAATTATTTTTTTAGTTATCCAACCCCAAATTGATATAATGTTTTCATTTAAACAATATGCAACTATTATAAATTAATTGTGTAGCCAGCCCTTATCTTTCCCTATTGAATCATAAAAATCTACAGAGTTATTGAATATCCTTACATATAAAACTGTAATGTAAAATTCATTTGTAAAGGTCACAAATCATATGAATGGGTTGAATGAGATAAAAAAGAGATAAAACATACTGTTAGAAGGAGCGATTTGTAATGCAACGCTGAGGCAAAGAATGAAAAATAGTTGGATATGGATGTGTGTTCATTTATTGTCGCAGTTGTAACAACATGTTGCATATCAATTATGTGTATATATATATATATAATATATATTGATGAAATGTATATATATATTGATATAAATGCCTTCATCTACAAATATATTTGATTGTGTCTCAAGAGTGTGCTTTGTGGCATTCTGTATATGCAAGGCTATGTACAGCAGTGGACTAAAACAAAACAAAATGAAATGATGATGATATATGATGATAATCTATAAATACTGAAATTTTACAAAACATGTTGTTTACAAAAATTATCACCTTTGTTATTCAAGGATCATGCAGCTTTAAATTACAAACAAAATGTAAATTCATTGTGTTTTAAGGCATTATTTATTACATACTAACAAACAAATTTTACATCCTTAGAAGATTGGTTATAAGTATGATTGTACCTATAAAGGCAGAATTCACAACACAGAAATTACTTGTGGTTAAAAATATTTGACATCTAAGAAACAATTACTTTAATATGCTAAATACTTTGACAAATAATATTAAGAATTTGATAATTAATACTTATTCATTATTTTTATATTTTATGTACAATTTTTTAATTAAGACTATTTCAATCATGTTTTACAGTACTACCGGTACTGCCTCTTCCAACACCACTACCATCAACATTGAATAATAAATCTCAATTATTTCACCCCCGCGTTGCCGAAGAAGCAGCTATACTTCTTGCAACTAGAGATGACAACTTAGTTTCATTATTGTTGCAATCCCTCATGCAAACATCTGTTCAACACATGTAAGTTTTTTTAACCCTTTGTATTATTTTGTTAATTTATACATACAGATAAATAAAATTGGAGTGTCTGTTTGTAATATTAAAATAACCGCTTTTAACTAAATGCATATGAATGTATACATGGTACATATAAAAAATAAAATTTTTTACAATTTTTGTCTGTCTGTCTGTTTGTTCTGGCTAATCTCTGAAACGGCTGGACCGATTTGGACGGGACTTTCACTGACAGATAGCTGATGTAATAAGGAGTAACTTAGGCTACTTTTATTTTAGTTTTTTTTTTTATTTTAAATTCCAAGCGGACGAAGTTGCGGGCACATCTAGTTCCTTTTATATGTTTAGTTTATATACAACATGGTGCTATTAACGCAACCCTTAATAAAGACCCATATAGAGGAAAACTTTTTAAAATTGTATTAAAAATTTACTTTCAATAAACATCAATATTTACTGATTTATTAAATTTTTCAAAGCAACAAATTTTAGAACATACTGCATGTACGACTGTAAAGATCATGATCATTGACAACACGAATTGCGTAGTGGGTAGTGTACCTGCCTCCTGCGCCAGAAGGCGTGGGTTCGATCCCCACTACTGGAAAAATATTATGTGATGAACATTGGGTTTTTCTAGTATCTGGGTGTTTATATATGTATAATATGTATTTATTTACAAAAAGAACGAAAAACACACAAAGAAAAGTATGTTTTCAGTCAGTTTTCTAGTACCCATAGTACAAGCGTTGCTTAGTTTGGAACTAGAAAATGTTGTGTAAAAATGTGTCCTAAAATATTTATTATTATTATTGGGGGGGGGATATTCATTTGTTTTCTCGTCTGGTTGGGTTTATAAATAAAAATAAAAATATAGATATATATTGCATATATAAAATAAATATTATGGATAAAAATAAACACATACATATAAATATTGTATATAATACATATATAAATAGGACCCAACCAGACGGAAGCCCTCGGCAGAGGAGACCAAACGGCCGAGGGTTAGGGCGAAGAGAAACCGGCGGACGATGCGGGCGGTATTGAGGAGCACCGCCTTCTGTATTTGAGCTTGGAGCGATCCGTCCCGGAGTCCCAGTCGCCTCAGATGTTTAGAGAAGCTGACTGGGCTTAACCCATTGGCAGAAAAGACTATCGGGATAATTTCGTTCGGCACACCACCCCACATGTCGGTCACCTCGTAAGCCAAGTCCAGATACTTTGTCTTCTTACCTGTTTCTGCTTTCACGAGGTTATCCTCATATGGAATGGTAATGTCGACCAAAAATACCCTCGACTGTGCCCGGTCCATCACCACGATATCAGGTTTGTTCGCGACAATCGTCCTGTCCGTGATGATGGGACGGTTCCAATAGAGCCTGGCGCGGTAATTTTCAGCATGGCTTCCGGATAGTACTTGTAGTACGGCAGTTTTCGATCCACGACGCCGTATTTCAGAGCGAGCTCCTGGTGTAGGATTCTGGCTACTAGGTTGTGTCTATGCAGATACTCAGAGTTAGAAAGCATGGACCAACCGGAGATAGCATGCCGAAGCGACTCCCCGGGATGACGACAAGCTCGACAGATGTCGACGGTGCTATACTTTAGGATGTATCTCCTATAGCTGTTCGTCTTAATAACCTGATCCTGTATCGCACAGACAATACCTTCGGTTTCCCCAAAGAGGTCACCGAAACGTAGCCAGTTAAGGGAGGCAACAGTATCTACGAAAGGCTCGTGTAGAGCCTTGTAGAACCTCCCATGGAGCTCTTTCTCCTTCCATACGGTCTCACGGTCGGAAACGGAAACTTATTATTATTATTTGTAAAGGTCACAAACCATGTGAATTGGTTGAATTAATTTAAAAGAGATAAAACATACTGTTAGAAGGAGATACTTGTAATGTGACGTTGTGGCAACTGTACAGTTGTAGATGTATAAGATGTTACAGATTTTGTTTCTTTTTTATTTAATTAGTTTATTTGTATTTTTTATTATGGATATTTTTTTCAATGTTTAAGTTTTTATGATTATTGGCAAGTAATGATAAAATTGTGTTCATTTAAGATCCCCGTTGTATATAAGACGAATAGTACACATACACAGCGTGTCGTTAACGCTACTTGCCAATAATCATAAAGGAATATAAAACTTTAAAAAAATTCATAATTAAAAAAATATATTTTTCAAACAAACTAAATAAATAAAAAAGAAACAAAATTTTAAAAACTTCCTTTACAACTACAACTGACTGATTCATATATTCAGAGACTTTTTCATTTGTTGCCAAAACGTCGCATTACATGTCGCTCCTTCTAACAGTATGTTTTATCTCTTTTAAATTCATTCAACCCATTTTTATGCTTTGTGACCATTACAAATGAACTTTATGTTACAGTTTTATACATAAGGATTTTCTAAAAATGATTGTTTTGTAAAATGTAATAACACTGTAAATATTGATGTTTAAGGAATGTAAATGCTTAATACAATTTTAAAAAGTTATCCTCTATATGTGTGTTCATTTATTGTCGTGGTTGTAACGACACACTGTATACTTATTAACTTCCAGTTTTGTTACTAGACCTATTTGTATTGATGCAAAATATCTATTCGTTTTCAGTGACTTAAAGGATGAAAGCATTCCAAATGCTGTTAGTCCTGCTCCTCAACAGGCTACACCTGAACTATTAAAGGCAATTTTAAATGTCAATCCCAATATATTTGACCAACGAAATGAGCAAAGAAATCATTGGGGCAACCATTTACATGCTGCAAAGTTTAATGGGATGTCACCATCGTCAACATTCAACTATTCATCACACAGTACAGTCCAGTCAAGCCCATCTCCACATGGAACTGCTGTTCATTCAGCACCTATTCCAAATCAACAGTTATTAGCTCCTCCCTGCCAGTCATCACCACATGTAAACATGGGCTCTCCACCTTCCCAAGCACGCCCGGGCCATCAATTGAATATTACAGCTCAAAATAATGTATCACCCCCTTGGAATAGTACAAATCAATCAAACACTTATACAAGTGCACTTTCAAATACATCTTGTCCAAATGCCCAAAATGGCGGTTTTTACAACTTTGCTACCAACTTAAATGAAGAAAAAGATCCATTGTCCATGTCACCTGGTAATCTGCAAGATCAGCAGAGAATTCTGTTACCCACTCATGAGAAACCATTTGAACAAGGTATGTATTTTTGATGACTTTTCTTTTTTCATGCCAGTTTTAAAATAAAGTAACTGAGTTAAAATTTATTACACATTCATATATTATACAGCATACTAATGCATAAACTTACATCTGATAAAACAAGGAGGATATTTTAATTGGCTTTACAAAAAATCAGGGAGCTTAAAGCAGTAAACAGTGCTTGGGAATGTGTTCTGAAATTCACAATAACTCAAATTGTGGATAACAATCAAAATTTTCAAAAGTAGTACATTATTTAATATTTATTTTAATTATTTTACCTAACTGTTATTTTTAACGTACCTTGTTTAACAACAAATTTATATTAATGGTATAAAGAAAGAGTTTGAAATTTTGTATGTATGTGGAAGGTAATCGCCATATCTCATTTAAAATATTTTTTTACCATTTTAAAGCTACACTATTTGTGGTGGACAATAGGCATGACTTTCAAGAGTTTCCATTGTTTCTATTGTGTCAATATTTTATGTTAGTAAAAGAAAATAAGGTGTCATTGTTTTCTTTGAAAATTTTTGTAATAAAAGCTATATATAAATGCTTCAAAATTTTGGTAAAAAAAATATGAAGTTGACGTGTTTTTTGTATCAATCTGGTGTTATGCATAAGAATGCATTTGAATATAATAAAATTCACCTGTGCGAAACTGGACAGAATTACTTTATGTTAAGAAGATAAACTTCTCATTTATTTTTCTAAATAATATGTTAATTACAACCAGACAATTACCGGCAGATTATGCGGTGTAACTTTCCATAATTGTTTGAAACCTATTTCTCTACATTTACTTAACTTATAATTAATACCAGGCAAACTGTTTATTCATATTTCAGATGGTAATGTAATGACTGGTCAATCCCCAGCCCAAGCTAGTGTAGCACCATCACCTTTACGACAGGAACCACAAGTGCCTCAGACATCAATGGGTGCACCTTATGCTCCACAGCAACAATCACAAAGTATACAGGAGTCTTCTACTAAATCTAATGTAATTAATAATAAATATCCTGTAGTGAAAATTGGCCGTCTATCAGTAAGTATTTGTAATCTTTATTAAAAAAAAGTTTTTATTTGAATGATATTGTACTTTCATATTTATATTTTTATTGTGACAGGAGGGTATTTTAAAAAAGCATGATTTTTCCCATGATGAAAGATCGAGAAAAAACAGTGCAATAGAATCAGACTCTGATGATAATCTGCCACTTAAAGCAAAATCTGCTGTTTCTACTCCCACAATAGACAAAGAGAGAGAAGCGATAGACATAGCTAGAGAGAAAAATTGGGAAGCTGTGAAAAGGAAACACGAAGAAGCCAGTAAGAAGGAGGAAGCTGAAGCTGCAATTGGTAAAATGTTATCTTGTCTTCAACATTCTGCTTTAAAATTTAATTTACAAACCAGGTATTTTTTGACTAAAGGGAATTCTTTAATTTTGTATGGGTTTAGTAAAGATAGACTTATAACTGAAAAACAATTATCTTGTCTGATTCATGTTAAGATTTTATGATTTTGTTTTAGTTCGACCAAAACTTCGAAAAGTAGAAAAACGGCTGGTCCCTGTGTTAGAAATGCTATCAGTGGATGAACTCATGGAGACAAACACTTATCAAAGGTTCAGCAAATTGATAGATGCCGTTTTTGAAACCATTGATGATGATGTTATAATAACAGATGAAATGGGTAAGGATATTTAAATTTTGTATGAATTTCTTTCTCAATGTTTTGTTTGTGTAAAATAAAATTAATACATGATTTTTAGAAGGAACAGACATTCCTGAAGATTTGCTTTTACCTCGCTATCAACTCCAGGAGTTGTGCTCTGAAGCAGCAAAATTAAAAAATCTCGGTGCTATGGAAGCCATTCCCGCTGATAGACTAGTTAGGTTGCTCAGTATTTTGGAAAAAAATATCAGGGCTGCGGAGAAAATGTCCTTATTAGGGGACCCCGTAAGTGATATTTTTTGTCATTATGCATCTTGAGATTTATAAGGAAAACTTAAAGATCTTAATTTTTTGTAATTGCAGGAAGACAGTGAAGAAATGCGGCAAATATGGATTGAATCAGCTTTAGAGAGAGTTATGTGTGCTTCTGATGCCTGCCTTACTTCTTTATACATAATGACCTCTCCCAGTATGCCCAAAAGGATATTCTTAGAAGATGTTATAGATAGAATTATATTATTTATAAAGTTTCAACTTAACAATACAATATATTGTGTCTACGATCCAGTGTACAGTATTCAGTCTACATACAAAAAGAAAGGTATGAAAGTAATTATTTTTTAGAAAAAATCAAGTATGTCATTCACAATTTAGCTCACATACCACCTAGTGAATTTCAGATCGTTGCTATCATGATATACGACAACAACAAGCAATGACGCGTATTTTATAAACCAATATATTACGACACACAGAGCTTTACGAAATGTGTCCTTCTACTACTGAGACTTTTTGGTAGATTTAAGTCCCTACATCAATTTTAAATTCTTTCAAACAATAGAAATATTTAACACAAACATAAGTGACATAATAGAACTGCGCGACCGCAAACTGAAACTAGTCGGTGGTTTTAATAATTTTAGAAACATTAATATACGTTTTTAAAAACTTACACTTCTGCGTTTCGCCTGATGATTGAGGTAGCCGGGGCCCACTTTATTAAAAGGTGGCAATGCATCCGCAACCTACTACGGTTGTTGCAAATGTCAATGGGCGGCGGTTATCACTTACATCAGGTGAATCGCTCATATCAGGTTAACCGCCAATTCGCTTGTCAGCCTCTCTCATAAAAAAGGTGACTTGAACTTGCCCAAGACTGTTCGCCCTATCGCTTTGGATGTCATAAACGTTGTTGTGCACCCCTTATTCAGTCGACGGACGCAAGCGCCGCGGTGGCGGTGCTGCGAACGCGACGCGCCGCAGCGGCACCGGCAGCGGCTCGAACCGCGCCGTCCGCGAGCTATACTCGCACGCGCACGAGTGCGTCACGCTGCTCGCCGAGCTGTTCGCCGCGCACCACCTCACGGACACTACGGTGCTGCACGCGTCCACGGTGGGCGTGTCGCCGTTCTTCGTCGAGAACATAAGCGAGCTGCAACTGTCTGCCCTGAAGCTGGTGACTACGGTAAGATGGTTTTAATTGATAAGTTAGCACCCGAAGAAACGCGAAGGTATAATACTTCCACTTCACGTCGGTCTTCCGTAAGGCCGTCGTACGTCGCCGGCCGAGCCTGCCCATTTGTGCAACAGCAGATGGCCCTACCACAGATAAGCGGCAACTTATGGCGATTCACGGAGCACTCCAAATGTTAGCTGACCGTAGGAATCTAAGCTGTCAATAATTGCTTGTTTAATTACTATAAAAAATACATCTTCGAAGGCTTACAATATTTAATGGTTAACAGTTTTGTTAATTGTTAAGAAAAGTAAAGCAACAGTATGCATATTACATTCTACTTCTAGGGAAAGACCTCCTCTGTACTTTAGGTATTAGGCCATAGTCAATCTCATTGCGGTATGGCAAGCTTCACATATCTTTGAAAGGTTCTGTTTTTTATTATTTATTCGAAAATATATAGGTTTGCTCATGACGTTTTCCTTCACCTATGAGCACGTGATAAATCAACATTTAAATTACAAGTAACAATTTCGTTCACTACAGTACACCGGGATTCGACGCCAGGACTGCTGAAATTGTTAGTTGCTTGAGTTACTCTGGTTCCTCAAGTATATTGAATTATTAGCGAGCACCCGGACACAGAGAGCATGCTTCAGGATAAAGTATTGATTTCCTTTTTTATATATAAACGTTATCTACTCTACAGATTTTCTCGAAATACGAACAACATAGAAGACTACTTCTCGAAGATATATTGGCTTCAATAGCCCGCATACCGAGCTCTAAACACAACCTGCGCTCATTCCAATTGAGCTCTGATCAGCACATACAGATGCTTACCGCTCTGGTCCTCCAGCTTGTCCAATGTGTTGTAACTTTACCGGAATCAATGTGTAAAACGCAGGAAAAGGAAAAAGAGCACACCGATTCCGACAAAAAAGTGAGTATAATAATCTTGCTTTTATTCATCACAAACATCTTACATATACTACTAATATATTGTATCAATTAATAGCAATTTTTAAAATTAAAGAGCTGTTTCATTTTACTGGTTTAAACATTGAATACTAAAATATGTATTGATTTATTTAATTGAAAATTTCTGTTTTCAATTACAGCATGTTGATAAAGATCTCCTTATCATATCTAAGTACGAAGCTGCAATCAGCGTAGGTGGTACATTTCTCACATCGTTCCTGAACAAATGTAGGAGTCGTTCCGAGGAGGTGGATTTCAGGCCTTTGTTTGAAAATTTTGTGCATGACCTCCTCACTACTGTTAATAAACCCGAGTGGCCTGCCACTGAACTCTTACTTAGTCTACTTGGAACAATGTTGGTAAGTTATAGAAATTTTGTACCTATACATTATACTCAATAATCTAAATATTAAAACAATATTTAATCTTGTTTATATTTCCAAATTATTTTTATAACGCCCGACGGTTGTAAGTCATCTAATTACCTTAAATGAATGACACATAAGAAAGGAATAAGCAAAGAAGTTCTTGTTGACAATAAAACGTAAGGTGATAATTTAAAGCGCAAATCAGCTTTAAAACTAAAAAACGGCCCCGGCTACCTCACTCACCAGACGAAACGCAGAAGTATCACACTTCCACTTTACGTCGGTTTTCCGTGAGGTTGTGATACTTACCCGGACTGACTTGCCCGCTCGTGCAACAGCCGAAGCTGTTGCGTGGGCCTATCAACACACTTTAACGTTTTTTTAAGTTGATTAAAAAAACACTGCCCTTACTTTAGGTTAATATTATCCTGTAAAGGACGTTTTACAAACATAAATTTCACGCGGACAAACACCCAGATGCGAAACAACTATCTGTGGGTCACACAAATAGTTGTCCCGTGTGGGAATCGAACCTACAACCCCCCGACGCCGAAGCCAATACCTTGGCAACTGCGCCACGGAGTCATCAACGTGTCTAACCATTTTCAATATTTTATCTGTAGATTTGGTAAATAAATTAAAATATTAGACATTTTTTTGAAGATTTAAGAAACATTGCCCTTACTGTAGGATAACATTATCCTGTGTTGTAAGGACGTTTTACTAACATAAATTAAACGCGGACAAACACCCAGATGCGAAACAACTATCTGTAACTATCTGTCTGACAGATAATTGTCTCGTGTGGGAATCGAACGCACGACCCCCGACGCCAAAGCCAATACCTGCAACTGGCAACTGCGCCACGGAGTCATCGAATAGCTCCATAATACAGTAAAAATGTTTATCTCCAGTAACCAAATCTGAAAGAATATTGAAACCGGTCGTAAAGCGCTATGCTAGGCTTCGTCCTACACACAAAAGTAAAGTAACAGCCTGTATATGTGTAAAACTCTTCTGCACAAAGGGTATTATAGTCCACCGCGTGTTCCCCCTGCGGATTGGTGGACTTATTAGAATTTTTGTTACCATTTCGAAAACATGCAGGTTTCCTCACGATGTCTTCCTTCACCGTTAATCACGTAATAAATAAGCAGTTAACAAAACATCATCGGTGCCGGCAACGAGATTTGAACTCTTGTTGCTCACTCGAGCAACACGAGTATACTCATACTGAATCAAAAGCGAGCGCCCGAAAACAGAGCTATCACGTTACACACGCAATACGTTAACTGTCAAATGACGTGATTGTATTCTTGCAAATAAACTATTGGCTTTATTTGATTTCACCAATGATGATTAACGAATTCCAGGTGAAGTATATGTCGGACAAGTCGATGGAGATGTCGGTGCGGGTGGCGTCGCTGGAGTACCTCGGCCTGGTGGCGGCGCGGCTGAGGCGCGACAGCGTGCACTCGCGCGCCAAGCTCACCACCATGGACGCGGTGGTGCGCGACATCCGCGCCGAGGAGGAGAAGGACTCGGGCCAGTCGCAGGTGTGCGCCTTTTCCTATACCGCCAGCTAGCCTGCATACCACGCATACTACTGTGCTTGATAACTCCGTGGCGCAGTTGCCATGTATGGGCTTCGTGCATTCGGATCTGGGTGTTAGTCTTGTTACTTTATGTATGTAAAACGTCCCAACAACACAGAATAGTAATATTATGCAGGAAGGGATAAATAAAAAGAACTGCAGTAAGTTGCAATTTATTTACATTGGAACTTCATACACGACGTTTTGCATTAACGATGACAATATCTAGAGATTAAAAAAAATACCATCATACGACGTGGACACGAGTGACTGCTATATTAATTTATTTACTAAATTAATTTGGTTCACTTTCTTAATTGATGATGAATGAGGCTATCGTTGGAGATGAATGCACTGTATCAATATAGCTATCCTCAGGGCTATCGTTAGGACGTGTGGCAAATGTCACCGTCCCATTAAGATGAAAATTTAAACCGTATTTTTTTTTTATATTAAAGTTAAAAATATCTCTAGACATCCCGCCCCATCCGTCCCCGACGTATCACCCCCGCCTACCACCAAGACCATCCTTTACTTAAAACTAGATATCCTTTAATTATTTCACAATTATATCCGTAATTTGCATCCATCACTAATCACAAGACCAGTCCCACAAATATGCATGATTAAGATCCTTTTTTGCTGTATGTTTATTTAATGTCTCCTTTTATTATGCCGCATCTCTTCATAATGTTCTCCGTAACCACAGACCGCTACATCAGGGCTGGACGAAGATGAAGAGCGAACGGAGTTCCTACAGCGAGTGCTGTTGGATTATCTAGCTATAAACGGGCAGAAGGATCAAGCGTGGAATTGCGCAAGACATTTCTACATCACGCAGTGGTACAGGGACATGGTCGTACAGCCGAAGGCATCGCCCACGAAGAGGCCGAAGCACAAATCGAAGAAGCGCTACAAGGACGAGACCAGCGACGAGGAATCTGAAGCCGACGACGACAGCGACAGCGGCATAAAGGATACCAAGTCGGAAAAGAAGCACGCGTCTAGCGCTGTCATGTCCGCCGAGAAGTTCAAGACGATAGAGCGGCGGAAGCATTTCTTCCTCGATAAGATAAGGCCGTTCAGGTACCAGGGCGGGACTCAGGTGCAGGTGATGCAGTCGTACATCGACTACGGCGGCGCCGAGCTGATATCCCAATATCTCGCCTCAAAGAGGTCGTTCTCGCAGAGCTTCGACAGGTACCTGAGGAAGATTCTAGTTATACTCTGCGAAAACACCATAGCCATTCGTACCAAGGCAATGAAGTGTTTGACTATGATAGTGGAGGCGGATCCGTCGGTTTTGGCTCGGCCCGATATGCAAATCGGCGTGAACCGCTCGTTCCTGGACCAGTCCACTGCGGTGCGCGAGGCAGCCGTAGATCTAGTCGGCAAGTTCGTGCTCAGTCGGCCCGATCTCATCGACAAGTACTACGGAATGCTATCCAATCGAATTTTGGTGATTATTTCAAAATATATTTTTTCATCATATGACAATAGAGAATCCTGAATTAGAACTTTTTTAAAGTGACTATACATTATTTTAACACTCTATACACAGGCTGTTCATTATAAAATGATTATTTACCGTTCATTACATTCCTTACTTTAAGGTATTTGTAACCTCGATCTCTTTCTTTTTCTCCTATTGCAACATGCAACATGGATAATGAATTCGCAGCCGATACATAAGTTCGCTTTTCCATCCCAGGACACGGGCGTGTCCGTGCGGAAGCGCGTGATAAAGATACTCAAGGACATCTGCATCGAGTGCCCGGAATTCCCGAAGATCCCCGAGATATGCGTGAAGATGATCCGGCGCGTGAACGACGAGGAGGGCATCAGGAAGCTGGTGATGGAGGTGTTCCAGAACATGTGGTTCAGCCCGTGCCCGAACACGTCGCGGCCGGGCGCGCTGGACACGGCTGCCGCCGCCGCGGACCCGCTCACCCGCAAGGTGCTCAACATCACGGACGTCGTCATCTCATCGCGCGACATGGGCCTGGAGTGGTTCCAACAGCTCTTGACCAGCGTAAGTGTTTTGACCGTTCCTCTAATAGTCTGCCCTGTCTTGTTCATTTCTTATGGTACATTTTTCAAATTCAAACCGATTGTTTAAAACTCTTCCTTAGTCCACTATGTCTTGTTAATTTCTAATGCAGCATACACTTCTTCCAAATTCCAATCAGTTTGTTTCGACTGTTACTTTAATAGTCAGCTTTGTCTTGTTCATTTCTTATGGTACATAATCTTTTTCAAATTTAAACCATTTTTTTCTACTGTTCCTTTAATAGTTGGCTCTGTCTTCTTCAGTTCTCATGGATGATCATACTTTTCTCAAATTAAAATATTATCTATATTTAATATGGAAGCAATACACTTAGTTTATTGACTTTCGAATAGTAGAAATAAGAACCGGCGAAAGAATATCAGTGGGACGATTTTTTTTAACAATAATTGACAGTAAAATATGTTTACTAAATATATGCTTAAAAGGGCCTGGAGAGATAAATTCATTTCCATAGTATATTATTATTTAAATAATCACTAATAATTTAGCAACTGATTTTGAACATTTACTAGGAATTTGTAGGAAATATGTGTGCGGTGTCCCATATAAGAGTTATTTATTCTATGATGTTTACAATAGTTGTGTTTCATTAAAATCAATTTTATTTTAATTTAATACTACTGTGTCTTATACAAGATAACATCATCACTTGTATTATCAATGTGCATTAAAAATAGATAAATATTTTTGGGAATTGTACCCACTACTAGGGTGCCGAAACATCACAATGTAACGATATACTCTTAAACAATGTAGTTTATACAACTACCATTCAGATTTTTTAGGTCTTTTCTTAGGGTCAATAGTAATTGGGAGTTTTTCCGAATAGATAAATATTTTAAATTATGTTCCCATGCTAAGGTATTTTATTTCCTATAATTTAAAAATGGATTAACTAGTTAAAATGACTGTATTAATATATTCAAACATACAGTTGTTCAAGCCCAAGGAGGACAAGGATGATTCAACGAAAATAATTTATCAGCCGCCTAAATCACTTCTGGTTGCATGTCAACAAATAGTAGATTGCCTTATAGAAAATTTACTTCAATTAGAAGAAACAACGACTGAAGGTAATTAGCATTTATATAATATGTCTATAAAATTTTGATGGAATCCAAAGATTTTATTATCTATTCGATTCTTTCAGGTACCGTATCATCACAGCGTATTTTGGCGTGCCTATCAACGTTGCATTTATTTGCAAAAATTAGACCTCAACTCTTAGTTAATCATGCATTAACATTGCAACCATACCTCAGTTTAAAATGTCAGGTATATAAATATATATATTTAAATACAATTTAATATCCATGTTTTTTTCCTAAGTTAATTAAAATTCGCCGATGAGCTTGCACAAAAAAATTGTTATGGTTTATGGTTGATAATTATTATCGTATAACAAGAAACGCCTCTTTAGTAATATAATATGTTACAGAATCAATATGAACAGCAGATAATGTCAACAGTAGCGTCAACATTGGAACTCGTAGTGCCGTTAATGGAGCATCCAAGCGAAGTATTCTTGGCGCAGTTGGAGGAAGACGCCGTCAAGCTTATCCTTCAGCGCGGCCAGCTCGTGATAGCGGCCTGCATCGCGTGCCTGGCCGCTATCGTTAACAATCTCACGCACAATTATAAGCTTATAAGAGACGTCTTTAACAAATATCATGGTAAATTTGAACAATTATACGAAACGTAGCTGCTGAGCACTATTCATAAATAAGTACATAAAAGCACTTTAACTGACTGTTATTCATAATAAATGACTGATTGTCTTCTACTCTTATCTCTTCTGTGAAATTGGTTTTAGGTGTATTACTTCAGTGGAAGCACAGTTGGCAGCGCAATCCCGAGCTGACGCGGTCATTGCCCTCGCGGCCGTACTTCCGGCGTGCACTATTCATCGTGGGCCTACTGCTGCGATACTTTGATTTCACAGATAACAAAGTTATTGAAGGCCTCTCGGTTAGTGTGTCGTAGTTTATCCGTAGGTTCGATACCGTAAAATTTAATCTTATCGGCTGTCATAATGGGAAAATGTTGGTTTGACCTCCTATCAAACATTGTGATAAGAATTTGATACCTACATACAATTGTCCCATATATTATGTAATAAAAGTAAAAGTAAAAATATGTCCTCTACAGAAATTTCTTTCATGCTACTGCCAAAATAATGGATTGTTCCTCTTATTTAATAATATGTTAAAAATATCACTTAATCACTTATCAACATTTAAAAAACATCACATCATGATGGTATGATGCTTCCACTAAATGGCCTAGAATATTTTACTTCTTTATTTCAATTGAGGTTTTCTAATAAAATTAAAAACTTTTTTTTTCACTCAATAAATTAATTCAAGTGAGATAATATTAAAAATGAGTTTTTAACAATGACTGATTAGTGTCAGTTCTTAACGTTTAAATATTTGCGTTGTAGAGTGATATAAAAGAACAAGTTTTCACCACATTGATGTTCTTTGTGAGCTTGGACGACGAAGATTTCGTATCACATACTCTGAAAGCCCTCGGATCGGTGTGTGTGCGACACTACGAGTTCATGTTGCGACCTGAACTTAAAGAGTTCTATCATCAACTACTCACCTCCGAACTGGCGCCGATAGAGATGAAGGCGGACGTACTCAGGAACATTGAGATGTATCTTCAGGAAGAGGAACAAAGGATGATCAGACAGGATAAAGAATGTAAGTATTTTCCCTTAATGTCACATATTAAATAGCATTTAAAATACCGTTATGTTCCAATAAAAGCAATTCAAAACTAATATTTTTTTTAATATATTATTGATAATAATTTCTTGTATTTACGCGATTACACGTTATAAATGAAACTAATTTTACGGATTTATCGCGTTTATTTTTAATTTAAGTTCCCGACGTTTCGAACCCTTTACAGCGTTCATGGTCACGGGACAGACTGAGGTGTTAGACGTCTGATTGTCAAAGTTAACCCGGGCTACCGTCAGTTTATGTATTATTGATTTTGTGTCCGATCTATGCAGAGGGAGCTAATTGTATCTTGTCTTGCAGTAGTGGTTCTTTTGGGCTTAGATTTAATTTTATTGATGATAGGATCCCAAGCTGATGGTAGTACCCAACCCTCTTCTCTATTGAAATTAGGGTGTTTTTTAATTACAATAGCCTCGCGAATCATCCTCGGGAGGAATCGGTGTTCTTTTGCAAGGATCTGTGGTCTATCAAACCTGATGTAGTGGTTGGGCCGATTTAGAGTGTGCTCACAAACTGCAGAATTAAAAATAAACGCGATAAATCCGTAAAATTAGTTTCATTTATATATTATTAATGTTATATATTTTCAGGGTCGAAACGATCAAAACATGAGAATCTTAAGGAAATGGGTGACGTGTCATCAGGTATGGCATCGACAGTGATTCAATTGTACCTAAAAGAAATATTAGGTGCATTTCTACATACAAGTACTGTTGTACGGTCCAGTGCAATGAAGGTTGTACAGTTAGTTTTGGCGCAAGGTCTCGTGCATCCGGTACAGGTATGAGAGTTTGAAGTGTTCTTTTATTTCATATCGGATATATACCATCAATCATCTCAACACTAAATCAAATTCAAATTTTATGAACTGCAGATTAAATCCTGGTTATTTCTGCTAAGGAAGACCAATTTTTTTATTTAATTTTTTATCATGTATCTTTTATAGGACTCCGTATTTTTCAGATTGTACCATATTTGATTTGCATGAGCACTGACATTGAGGTGACCGTTTCCCACACTGCCGACAAAAATCTTCAGGACATTGACAAAAAGTATCCAGGATTCATTCATATGAAAGCACAGCTAGGAATCAAATTATCTTACCAACTTCAGAAGATTTTACAAAACAATTTAGATAAAGGAATTATACGAGGATTTAGGTAAGTTCATTTACATTATGTGCCGCGAGAAATTTGTTACTAAATATTATACGTAGAACCTAAGCAATCCGACCTCATTTCAGTTTTGACCATCATTTTCATCATAATCACGTATAATATATTAATACATATTTTTTAGGAAAAAAGACCAAGATGATCTTCCAACATCCTTAAATGGTTTTTTATATTCTCTATTACGGAACACGAGGCCTCAGCGACGTGCTTTAGTATTGTCACTACTGAAACAATTCGACGATGTCTCGGTGAGATAATTTTATGTTCATACATGCTTGGAACAATATCAACTACATAACCAGTCACTTACAAAATTAGCGCTGACCTGATATCTAGTTGGTATTGTTGATCGACGTTTATATCTTTTAAATTGAAATAATATTGGAACAAATACACCAATTATGATGTTAAATTTAATAAAACTCTGACCACAAGGTAGTTAGACATGTGGCTATCCACATCCATGTATATAGTAAATCCTAAACCGCTATTTCTTTAATTAATTACAAAAATGTTTTTGTCTTACAACTGCACAGTGTCCGAGGGTTCACTTTTAAATGCACTATACTCAATCCACCGATTTCAACCACATACAGTAAACAAATAATTTGTAACAAAATTATTATACTTTTTTATTTTAAAATTTTAATGACATATGATATTCTTAATTTAATTTAGAATATAAATGTATGTTTTACAATATTGTGTTGTTGTATAACATGAATTCTTATATATGACTATCTTTATATATGAATATTTCAGAGTATTTTAACATTAAGAAAAACTATGTTACAACTTTTTGTAAACTATGAGAGTTCAATAACAATTCTTAAAGTTATTAACTTTATGCAATAGCCAAGAATAACAAAATTTTTCTATTTCAGACTGCACCTCTAGATCAAATGTTGTACCTGGCAGATAATTTAAGTTATTTTCCATATCAAGTTCAAGACGAACCACTTTTTATAATTCATCATATAGATATTATCATTTCAACATCTGGATCGAATTTACTGCAACTTTTTCGAGAGGTTAGTGCACTAATTATGTAATTACTCTTATAAAACATTGTGCTCAATTACTTTAAGTCCAAGATGAATCACTTTGTGTAATTCAACATATAGATGTATCTCATTTTAATATCCGGATCGAATTTCCTGCAACTTATTTAAGAGGTTCTAACCTCTTGAATAAGTTGCAGGAAATTCGATTTTCGACACTAATTATATTATTTCTCTTCAAAAATATAGATTAGTTATTATCTTTCTTTTTAATTTGAATCATCATGTATAGCTTGGGTACTTAAACTTGTTTTCATTCTATTGGTATTGAATATCACTTTTTTACTGCTGAGCATGTGCTTTATTGTATTAAGTTAAAAGAAATGTTAAATATAATGTGCATAATTATGCAAAATCTTAATCACATTGTTAAATTTACACATACATATATATTTTTTACATAGTTCTACGTGATTAACGGCCAGTTTCAATATTCTTTCTACAGATAGATTTGGTTATTGGAAATAGAATAACTTTATAAGATTTTCGTCGGTGTGGCGATCAGCCGTTTAGCTTAGTGGCTAAAGCGTCAGGCCGCGAATGCCTAAGACGTGTGTTCGATTCTCACAGCGGCGACCATCTTTTCGACTCTTTCTACAAAAAAAAATTATAGAATAACTGATGATACCGGCCGATAGCGTCGTTTTACGAAATAAATATACGAAGAGGGATCAAAAAGTAGTGAGAATGAGATAGAATATAATGACTATAATGTCTGTTGATAACTTAATATAATTATTTTTCTACATCGTCTCCGAGTCTCTCTACATACCGAATCCAGCGCATTTCCAAGGCTTCAATCCTTTACAAAAAAACGTTTTATCTTGGTCCTGCAAAAAGCTCTCCACGGCATACATCAGCTCGTTATCGTCTTCGTACCTGTTTCCCCTTAAGTATTCTTTCAATTTGGGGAACAGACAAAAATCGCTAGGAGTCAGATCTGGTGAATAAGGGGCGTGGTCAACCAATTCGAAGCCAGATTGCTGAATGGCAAACATCGCAACTGCCGACCTGTGCGCGGGTGCATTGTCGTGGTGAAACAGCACGCCCCTTGAAGTTTCCATCTCCTTTTCTCTTTGATATGTATCTCTGTGATGGTAACTCTTCGATCGCTCAATACAATTTTCTCGACTTTCGCAACATTTTCTTGGGTGACTGACGTTGATGGACGGTCGCAACGATGTTCGTCTTCCATGCTCGTTCTCCTTACTCGAAATTGAGAAGCCCACCTTGCGACAGTAGAATACGGCAGAGAAGACTCTCCTAATGTTGCCTCCAAATCACAATGAATCTCTTGCGTCGTTAACTTTTTTAAACAGAGGTATTTAATAACGGCTCAGACTTCGTTTTTCTACATTTTCAATAACACGTTACGACACGAAGCACACAAATGACTGCATTCAGATAAAAACAAAAGAGAATCGAAGATTTTTTTCTTTATTAGACTTGGTAAGTTAAGGTAAAGAAGATAAATATCTTTTTTTTTATTACTTAAAGGTTTTATGAAGAAAGGTAAAGTGATGGAAATCTTAGCATGAATTATCAATTTTCAAACCGTCAGCAATTGTTTTTTTGCAAGATCTGAAGCGATTACCGCCGCTCATGCCAGAATACAAGCGAGGCAGCATCTGTGTTGCCAAGTTTAGTGCGCGTGCCGTCCAGACTAATATATCCGCATACCCGCATATCCGATAGCAAAAAAACTGTATTCTGAACAATGCTTTGCGGGAAGCTCTGAAGCTCTTTCGAGTCTTGCGCCTCTGGTTTTGACATATCCCTTTTTCCGTTTCCAGGGACTGACGAAGCCGAGCGCGGAGCAGGAGAAGGAGCCACTGGACGAGGAGGAAGATGAGGAGGAGGCGGACGCTCTGCTGCTGCGGCTGCCGCACAACACGAGGCCGCTGCGCGACGCGATGCGGCAGGCGCGCGGCTGTCTGCTGCTGCTTGTGCTTAAACAGCACCTCAAGCAGCTCTACGGCTTCACCGATGCGTTAGTTCCCCTCCCCTTTTTAGCCCCCCCCCCTTTTTAGCCCCCCCCCCCCCCTCATTCCTTGCCGTCTAAGGACCGACGAACATTTAGTCACTGGTCGGTCCCGGGATATGTTAGCAGCACGATCAATTAAAGGGCGCCTAAAGGTGTTTGCCGTTCTCGTTCGCAATGTGGCCTCGACCGGAGTTGTTTATTGTAGTCATTCTCATTTGTTTCGAGCTTGTTGTCAAGTGTTCGAATTGCCGATTTTCGCCGAGTATAGCGTTAGGAGCGTCCCTTACTTTACGTTTTTTACGTTAAACTTATACTCTTTCATACCCAACTGACCTACTCATTCATTAAATGCCATTAAGCTCATTATTTCTCTTGTCTTTAGAAAAATCAACCAGTATTCGCCCTCGGAAAGTGTGAAAATGTACGAGAAAGCAGTGTCTCGGCGGCACGCGCCGCTCTTCGAGCCCAAGGCGACGATCGCGCAACTCGGTGACGCCAATGACGCCGACGCTGACAACGAGGAGCTTGACGATCAGGGCAGGCGGAGACTTGTCGACGATTACCTGGAGGTGACCACTTATTCTCGTGTAATGAGACATTATAAGAATCAGACAAATATGTCTGATGCTTATTATTACGTTAAGCATCATGTTTTCAATAGTTTTTAAAAGTATTTATTTATTATTTTGAACGTTTTAAATAGAGAGGTTTGATGCTGTAGCATTAAGGTCGAATTTTAAACAAGCTTTCACATCTCCAAACCGGTAAAGTTAACTCTGTCCACATTTCGCCGAGTTTAATTAATTCAATATCAATCAATCGATTCAATAGCTCGTATTTTATAGCAAGTAAGGAATGCGGGCGCAAATTTTTTTCTTCCATTTATCAGTGATTTGTGTTAGTAATGTCTTTGTATCGAACGCTCTGTAATCGGCGCACGACTCTGTTCCAGTTCAAGCAAATGATGCTGAAGTTCGACCCCGAGGAGGAGGAGGAGGAGGAGACAGGAGCGGGCGGCGCGGCGCAGGTGGGCGCGGGAGCGGGAGCGGGGGCGGGAGCGGCGGTGGCGGCGGGTGCGGGCGAGCCGGCGGGGACGAGGCCCGCGCCCGCCGCGCCTCCGCCCGCCACCTAGCCGCCGCCGCACCGCGCCCCGCACGCCGCGCGGTAGTGCCTCCGGGGACCAGCCAAATGCGCACCGCCACAAGAAGCGCACCGAGGCCACACGTTCTCGGACCTCTCGAACCTTCGCCGCGTGCGGGGACGAAACGCTCTAAAACAGTTATCGCGTCTAACCGGCCCCGCCCCGTCGGCCTGTGCGCGTGTGTGCCGCGTTGCGAATACGTCGCCGTCGACGTGATGGACGATTATCTTATTAAAATTAGAAACGCTCGAGCTCATCGCCCGGCCTTCTTTGATTTTTTTTTTAAATTGTTTAATTTATTAAAGGGGAATGTGCGGTTTCCGTTAGTAAGGATGTGGTGCGGCCGCGGGGGGCGGGAAAGACTAACACAACGGGCCGCCGCCGCGTCGACGCCGCCTGCAACTACGTGACAACGGCAATCTTGAATTCTTTATTTAAGTTATATTTCAGAACCTCGATTTTGTTTTATATTAAAAGTCTTGTGTGTAGATAATTTTTATGAAGAATATAAAGTATATGTAACAATACTGACTTAAATTTTTAAAAGTTCTCTTTTTTTTTTAAACAAAATCTCGAAATTTCTAACTATTAGTCCATATGGTGCCACACTGCTAACAAAATGTGGTACTATAAAGGTATAATAAAGGTCAATTTCTTATAATTTACCTGCGACATTAAATATAGCATAATTTTTATACATATTCGCGTTTATGTAATATAAACTATTATGTTCATGTGAAGGGTACTGCAATAAGCTGCATTTCAGTGAATAAAAAAAAACATTATGCTCTAAGGCTAGATTTTAGCAGATATTTTTTATTAAGCCCTAAATAACCAGATACTGTCCGTATTATTATATTTAATACCAGAAAAAATTATAATCATCATTTACCTATGCAACGGTATATTGAAATCAAGCTCTATATTATTTAATAATTGCGTTTTTATAGTACGTGCATTTCTTTCAAAAACTTTTTAGTTTGATCCACTGACTGAGTCCATTAGGTGATGGTACGTAAGGGAGTTTGATAATTAAAAAGTAAAAATTAAGATAAATAAAAAAAATTATTGATCTTAGTTAAAGGTGTTTAGTAAATAAGTTGCCTGAAAAAGTCTAAAAACAACGCTTTTCTATATTCGGATACAGAAGATTCGTAATAATACTTAAAAGTCAATTTGAACTTTAATACCATACCATAAAGTTTAAGTGTTTGTGGACGGGTTCCGGCAAGGCAAAACAATTGAGTGACGTTAGTGTAATATAAATATTAATGTCAATATTTATACAATGGTAAAGTTACTCAAAAACAAATTGTCTACGGTAAAATTTAAATTGTCTGTGGTAAAATGTCACTTGAAATGCTCGATAAATGACGTCTCTTTGCTGTGCATCACTATATACTATAAAACAAAGTCGTCCCACTGTCTGTCTGTCCCTATGTATGCTTAGATATATAAAACTACGCAACGGATCTTGTTGCGGTTTCTCTTTTACTAGATAGTGATTCAAGAGGAAGGTTTGTATATATGCACCTGTGCGAAGCCGGGGCGGGTCGCTAGTATAATATAAGGACACCTTACGATTTCTTACTTTAAAATATAATATAAAATATTTTTTTTACTAACTTAATTTTTATTCTACAATTGTCAAAATTCCTTCATATCGACAGGCGTATAGAGGATACATATAACAAACTATTTTATTAGTTCGAATTGCAATTAAAGCGTGTTTTTTCAGTTTTGTTAAACTATTATTTTTTTTAGATTTATTTACTTTACAATATGATATTAGAAAGAAGAAAGAAAGAAAACATTTATTGCACAAATACGCCACATGTACATTTAAACCGCAAACATAAAAAAATACATAGTAAAAAGAAAAAAAATGAAACATCACACATTTTACATACACACGTGTGTTGCGTATACGGCAATCAGACCGCACTCAGCTAAATGCTGCAGGCGATACGAGACTGCAGCGCTGGTTTTCATAATTATTACAGTATCATAATGGTGTAAGAGGACCAATTGTCGGTAAGGCAAAATTCCATCCATTCCATTTAAATTTTAACGGTGCTACTCTCTGCATCCAAGACGAAACACTAAAGTTTGTAGAGAAAAGACGCACGCAAGACGTGGGTTCGAATCCCGCAGCGGCTAAGAACGTCCTTGTTTCTACAAATTTTAATAATACTTATTGAGTGAAATCATGCATATATGAAATAATTGCATACTGAAGACGTGTCCAAATTTTCAAGCAAATCGCACAAGAAGAGGATAAAATTAAAGTTGTATGATTTTCTTACATTGATAGAACAAGTGAATTGAATAAAAGGGTGTAAAAAATAGTGTTGACCATGAATATTACTCACACGCTTAGGAATTTCTGATAAATATCAAATGTTTTTAAACATTTTGCACAATAAGATGAGTACTAATTATCTATAATATTTTACTTTTTCGTCGGATTGGTGAAGAAAAGTGAAATACATCAGAAGGAACGAACAAATTATTTCTACATTTAAGATAAAAAATAAAATTGCTTATAATTTTATTTGCAAAATTATTTTGATAGCTACCCGATGTTATCATATACAAATACGAGGTAGAGATGGCACTAGCGCACCGAAACAGAGACACTCACGCCAATTGGTGCAATTAGATTGCAATTCTATATAATGCTGCTATCTCTTTCCGATAATGCGTCATCTTTATTCAAACATCATTGCAGCTATCAGTAACTTCGTTTGAGTGAAGAAGTATGGGTAGGACATTAAGTGATTTCAAAACCACTAGGCTTTTCTTGAATTTGAAAGTTGGTCAAAATTCAAATAAAACAATACAGATCTAGATTGTAGTTACGTCCATGGCATTTACGAACACCACAGCATGAAGTTTATTTTATTTATATTTATTTATTGAATTATATAATTCTCAAGCAATTTTTAGTTATTGAAATTAATATTTTCTTTATAATATTTCGACGTGGTTCCTTGAACTTTTGTCAATCAACCTTAAAGACTAAATTCGCCAATTCTTAACGACAGAGAACTACCAAGTAAAATGTAATAGCTTTTAATAATTATAAACCATTACTATATTTAATCTAATCAGATTTCATAGATCCGAAAGCCTTATTATAAGCATTATGTTGCCATGGCTCTAATAATATTTTTATCTAGGTTCGTTTAAAGTTTAAAAATTCATTCAGATTTAAAAGAATTGTGACTTCCACTTTTAATATCGCTCTCTTCTTGTGGTATAGAGACAATGTTATTCTTAGTTGACTTAACACTACTTTGACTTTGACTAAATATTTTTGTTTCCAATCCGTAACTATGAAAGTTTCGTCGAACGCAAAGCTCATAACCAGATCCTGCGAGCTTGATTATGGCCCTCCATCTATAGGAAGGAATGTCACTTTAAGGTAGTCATCGCTAGAAGAGCTGATGAGTCTTCACGACTTCACGCCAGGCTACGCCAATGCAGCCGCGCGGCAATACGGGATGTATTGCAAACAAATGTGGCAAAACTCGCCTCCGATTACCCCAGGATGATGCCGAGGCCCTGGATGCGGGAGCAGGAGCGTACACAGAGGTTGGACGAATAATCACTGCGTTCCTGCCGAGCTTCGAAGCCTGGCTTAGTGCGAGGGGATTCGCGCACGTCACCTTTCGGTTGACGCAGGTACTCACCGGGCACCGATGCTTTGGCGAGTACCTAAATAGACTTAGACGCGAACCGACAACGCAATGCCACCATTGTGGTTAGGACCGGGAATCCGCGCAACACACTCTTGTAGAGTGCCCCGCTTGGGAGTCAGAGCAACGGATTCTGGTCCAAAAGACCGGGCGGGACCTTTTCCAATTGCACTGGTGGAGAATTCTGCATAGACGGCACTGGTTTCCTTCTGCGATACTGTTATGCTCCAGAAGGAGATTGCTGAGCGGGAACGGGAGAGGGCCGACCCCGCTCAGACACGAAGGTGCCGGGCCGGCAGAAACGAACGAGCCTCTCTGTCAGCCCTGTAGACCCGGACTCATAGAACAGGGCTAAGGTATCCCCTGCCTGTCGTAAAAGGCGACTAATTATGTTACTGTAATATATTCAACCTTACTGTAAAATAGACTTTTTAAAGTGAGCGTACCTACTGTTAATTTCTGGTGTCGAAATATACTTACCATGCTAGCAACAGTATAGATATGTAGGGGAAGCCAAGCGGGGCTACAACCGCGGTTGCCTTCCCCCAAAGAGGGTCGCCCCCACAATAGACTTCAGAAAAAAATATTCAAATTCAGTGAAAATGTTCAAAATTTAATTTTAAATAATTCTGATTTCCGATTATATGTATTTATGTGTTCCTTAAATAATAAAAGAATCTATAATCAGTTTCACAATAAAATATTTGTTGGAAAACTCCACTGAAAAAAATTGTTAATTTTATTTGGAAAATAAAGGGGCCGCCACTCCTTTGTTGTCCCGAGGCCTCCAGACCTCTAAATCCGGCGCTGCTTTTAAATGAGTTAGGGGTAAGGTTTCTATATCTCAGAATTTGTCCTGACATTTCAGAATTGTTAAGGTCCTGACAGGATAACGGCCGCATTTTGAATATCTCCGGAATTCAATAAAATTTCCCACGCGGTATTTTTTTATGTCATAAGGTGGCAAGCGAGCTGGCGGTTTACCTGATGGTAAGTGATAACCGCCGCCGATGCAAGATTTGTAACACGCATGTGAGGAAGCCGGGGCTCACCCTTGCTACCAAACTAACCAGACCAAACGCAGAAATATGAGTTCCACTTCACGCCAGTCTTCTGTGAGGCAGTGGTCCTTACCCGGACAGACGTGCTCATTTAAGCAACAGCCGCCACAAAAAAGGATATTCTTGTTTCGTTAAAAATGTGTTCAAAGTTGCTATTTCGTCAAACAATTTTACATCATTGACATCAATAATGTAATGTATTATTAATATAATGTTTTCATTACCTGAATTGAAAAGGAGTACACAAGTACACCAGTATTTTCAGGTGGTAGGGCCACGCAGCAGCGTCGGCTGTTGCACGAATGGACAGGCCCGTCCAGGTAAGTACCTAGAGCCTCACAGAAGACCAGACGACCTAAGACCTCACAGAAGACCGGCGTAAAGTGGAAGTATGACAAATACTTTCGCGTTTCGTCTGGTGAGTGAGGTAGCCGGAGCCCAATTTTCAAAAGGTTGTCAACACATCTATAACCCTCGGGTATAGTGGATGTCCATGGGCGGTGGTATTCACTTAACATCAGCAAAAAAAGAACCTTTTCAATTAAATAATGAATTCGTAAAGCAACTTGGTCAAAGTCCATAACTTCGCCCTTCTTCAACAACAACCAATTAAAAACTTCGAAATCATCTAAAGGCTTTATCCACTTAGTCAAATATTCATTACACATTTTTTAGGGTTCCGATCCCAAAGGGAACCCTAACCTTAGTAAGGTTGTATCTCATGTACCGTGATAGTTTTTTTTGGATTTTTCCTCTTCCGCCGAAGCTATCACTACTACGAAGTACTAAATTTTATGTAAAAGTTGGAAGTTTCCTATGAACACGCAAGCGTCTATGTGAATAAAGATATTTTGAATTTGAAAGACAGACATATCTAATGTTTATGTATGTCTTCATGATACAAGCTGGCATTGTAACAGACAGTTTTGAATTAGTGTCAACGATAGGTTCTTTTAATCTTGCTTAATAGTTTACAGTTCGGCATACTTAAACTGACCATCGGTACCGTTTTGGGAACGGGAATATCCCTTTTCTCGGACAACTGTCCCTTTGTCCCCGAACAAATCTTCGGGACCCAAAATCGTCCCGTTTTCGGAAACCGCGCGGAATTTTAAAACCACGCTCGTCAGACATGATCATGAGCAGCGCGGAACCGCGATCGGTTATTCCCTGTTCTTCCCCGCGTGCATGCGTTCTCGGTTGCCTAGTAACGCGATGAGGAGGAGAGGGAGAAATGTTGCATTTGTTTTGAAATTTTTCTTAGAGTTATGCCGAATACTAAGTTTTCATTTAATGTCAACCTACAAACAAAATACCCATTTATTAAGCAAATTAACACTTCTTCGGATATCAGATGCGAAAAGTGTCGCACTTTTAAGTGTTTCCCATAGTGGTGCTGGTGATATTGAACAGCTCCAGTTCTGAAGGCGATGCTGATAAGCTGATAAAGTCAACATAAAAGAAACGTGAAAATTTTATTCTTATTTAAAATCGTCTTTATTAAAACAAATTTGTTCCTCTGAGAAATATAAAAATATTTAAAAATATACCAATATTGTTATAATAAAAAATGATTTTTTTCTTTGTATCTTCTAATTTTTAATCTTTTCGGAATAAATAAAATTAAGAAGTTATGTTTATTTTCATTGTCTTAAATCAATGTCCCGTTTTGTGTTAGAAAAAAAGTGGTCAATTTAGGCATACTCCTAGTCTGCCTTTGTTTGACGCAACAATGTAAAAAAAAAGTACTGAGCGGATTCTCTTATGGTTTTCGTCAATGGAATTGATTCATGAGGATGTACGGTTTGTTTTGCACAAAAGAAAAGAACGATGTCTATTGAAGAGTCGGAAAAAATCATGTCATGCGGATAAATTTTCGGCAAGGTAAGAGTATAAATTGTAGTTAGCGTAGGTATATGCTCTGCTAATCACGGGAGGCTCGGCCGGGGTGGATTGCTTTTTGTAAATAAAAATGTTACAGTTACACAAGTGATGGATGCAAGTGGCAAAGTGTCATTCGTTGTGGCGTTCTATGGCTTTGTTCAACAGTGGACGTCTTACGGCTGATGATGATAACACAAGTGGTGTAACTTTGTCCTACGGATCGGAGGACTGAAGACATTAACTCAAAATAAAAATTACCAAAACGAAAAATGCGTTAAATGTTATATATTTACTTTTTTGTCAATTTTTCTTACAAAAATACATTTCATATAAAGTTATAAAAATAGATGACAAGTATTAATTAACAATAAGTATTAAACATTCACCTAGACTTCGTTCTATTTAAATTAAGTCATGTCAAAGTCATCATAACTTAAGTTCATTTTAGTTATTTTTGATATGAAAGTGACTTATTGTTATTCAAACTTTTTCCGCCTATCATCGGACACTGCAAATTTATTACATAGAAAAAATATCAGTGTTTCTGACTCGGGTTTCACTTTACCTTCGGCTATCAGCCTACGTAGATTACGAATGCGTTGTGTATGAGGATATTCATGCGATGACAACCGCTCCTGAAACACATTTCTCAAAATTGAGATTATTTTAACATTAGCTTTTTGATCCACAATTGAATATGACAGTTATTTGTATTTACGCGATTACACATTATTAAATTATACTTATTTCTCTGTTTACAAATCTTACGTAACGGCTCCAGCGATTTTCATGAAATTTAGTATGTGCGTAGATTCGGGGGTGAAAAATCGTTCTAGCTAGGTTTCAATTTTAGAAAATGTCCTTTTATCCCTGTTTTCAAAGAATGAAAAATATCATTCGGAAAATTTCGCCATAAACAAAAATGTTATAATAGCTCGGTCGGTAATCGGGCGGCCCCAAAACGGACGGCCGTCGTTCGTGTTACGATTATTTACACAATCATTTTTTTACTTTTTTTTTATTCCAGATCATTGCTTTCTTTGTTTTTTTATTTTTTGTTGATCCAGATGATTTTATTCTTTTTTGCCCTTTTTTTAAAGTTGTTTCTTTTGTGAAAAACACCACTTCATATTTTCTTATTATTAGGTCGGTAAGATCGAAAAATATTAAGCATATTTCATTACTCAGTAATTTGTATCTAAATGTAATTTACAAAATACACGATTTACAAAAAAAAAAAAAACCACCAGGTACTATTATGTAAAAGACCATAATTTAAGTAATACCTCTTCCTTTTGAGAATTATTTACAGAAATATCCTTATGATCATCCCACATAACAGGATGCCATGAGCGCCGTACAGGTTTTTCCGGAGGTATGAAGGGCTGTGGCGGCTTTAAAGGCAAAGAACGAACGTCAACAGTCTCTTCATCATCTGAGAATTGTTCCTCAATTTTTGACACTAAAAATTATAAATATATTATTAATTCGTGATTTTTTTCCAGAAAGCTTGTGTTGATATGTACGTAATTTCGTTCACAAAGTGGGCTTTGTTGTGGTTCTGTTACGCAGAATCGAAGGCGGTATACTTAGTTATAAAAACAGCATATTGTCATTTTTATTTAAAAAAATTCAATAGATCTAGGTTTCTTGCAAAATCATTTGCTTTACAAAAATAAACACTCGTCGCTGTCGGCAGAAAACCACTACGCAATATGTTTTTTTATTCAATTGGGTCTTGGCAAAGAGCCAAGAAATCATTTTTACCGTCGATTGATAATGCAATGCCATTATTAAAAAAAAAACATTAAAAGCTCGTGAATACGATTAAAATATACCGCCTAAAAGTTATTTAAGATTTTAATGCTATGAAATGAAATGATATCATTTAACACTACCTTCAGAAGGACAAGACACATATGGCCGGTTGAATTTTAAATATACGGTTGTATTGAGCTATCATTTAAGATCAACTAACTCGTTACTTCTAAAATAAAACTAAATACTTACTTGTTTGTTAAACAGCAAAGAAATACAAATGAATGAATTAAATATCTTCACTTGAACAATTCGTTTAGCGCGTGGTGTAACAGCATACACGCTTTATTACTGTCTGCGAATCTGGTGAGATTTTATTTATATTCTGGGAATAGCAAACGGATGCATGACTGAATACTGACTGAAATTAATTATTTTTTCACGTCTCCGTAAGTCTGCGATTCGCCCGAGACTGTTCCTTCTGACGTATCTTGGACAATGACCAGTAAAAATCAGAGCACCACGTACTGTACAGTATTATATTGTATTGACATGTAGGACACTGACCGGATAACATGCCAACGATTCAAATTCGGCATCGTTGATCTACTTTAAACTAATAAATTAGATCACCGATGCCGAATTTGGTACTCCCTGTCATTGGTTTTGAAACCACTACTATCCCTCAGAATTACAAGGTAAATTTCAAACACATTTTTTAAAAATAAACCGAAAAATTATGAGGTATTCAATAGAACATTTATATTGTAGCGTGCTTTACTAAGACTACTACAAAACTATTAAAAAAATCTAAATTACTTTAATATGAGTTTTCTTTGAAATGTCGAAAGAAAAGAAACCTTGAGTTTTTTTCACAGTATTTAAAAATTTAGATATAAAAATGTATACAGATATTTTTATTTCAATATCTATGGAATATTTAGAATATCGAAATATTTGAGATTTACCACGTTTTTCATTGATTAATTAACTATGTTTAACTTCGTGTCAGAAATCATCATATATGTACATTTAGGCAAAAGGCAATTTGATATTTCAGGGTGCAATAAATTTTAATTATTAGCTGCAGCTGTAAGTATGGATTAATGCAACTGACGATGTGGTTGATAAATAATAATTGTAATATGTACCAATCCACATTGAATGAAATTCAAAACCGTATAAAAATGTAAATTTTATTTCATAACACGTAACATTTTTAAAACTAGATAACAATAAATTGGATATGCCCTAAGGATACAAAAATATAACAATAGTTTAGGTTTCTTGCAAATTTAGAGTGTAGTCATCAATTGTCTATGTAATTACAATAGCACCCAAGTAATTTCATAATCTTATGCAACCAATTTGTACCCCAGTTTGTTTTAAATTATTTGGACACTTTATAATATGATATCAGGTTATTTTGTGAAAACTTATTATATGTAACAGACACTAAATACCCGTTCCTTCTGACATTACCATAAGATGTTTCAATAGACATGCTATGTTAATGCGCTACTATAAGCAAACATTTAAATTTCTACGCTCCCGCAACAGCTTCGTCAAATAGAGCTTCATGTTCCGATCTTGAAAGCATATATTCTGGCAGGGTGACGCCTAAAGCTGCACTATATCGGGGCATAGTTTCAGCCCAGAAAGCGCCCTTAGAATTCGTGCCCGCAAATTCTTCTGGAGGTGCTATGTTGGTTTCATCAACAATTTCAGCGTTCGATTCGGGTTCAGATGCCTCACTTCTTTTAACTTTATGCGACTTTACAGGTTGCTGAACCGATGATAATACATCGGGTACTGCAGCTAAAACAGGATTAGCAGCAGCCACAACTAAGCCACCCTGGGAAGCTTTTTTGCGTTTTAACTTCTTCCCGTAACCTCCGTTAGCAACAACGTACGAAGCAGATTTCTGTACAGGCGCAGTGGTTGTTACAGTTTGGCTTTCAGCTGGTTGATTTCCGTCTTCGAGTGTAGCAGGCTTAGATGTAAATTCCTTTACTTCTTGATAAGCTAGATGGCTCTCTTTGGGTGCAGATTCAGATACAAACATACATTCTTCATGTTTTAAGCCGTTTTTATCAATACACTGAAAACAAGTCATACCGTTCTTTTGTACTTTCTTACACGCCGAGCGATCTTTTTTTTTGAATTCAGCTAAAACGTGCTCTACGTCTTTTTTGGGCTCATTGTCGGTATAAAAACCGGGCAGGGCCTTTTTATAATTATAAGGCTTGATATGGGATTCTTTATTTTCATCAGAGTTTTCCTCACCATCGGCAAGACGCAAAGCTTCACTCGGCTTAGGAGCCGATGTGTGTACATAGTATGATTTATATTTTCCAGGACTCTCACCATCATTTTCATCTGCTTTTTTGTAATCACCGTAGGGCTTTTCACTGTCATTAATTTCTTTTACTTTCTGATCGTCTTGATATTTTTGTGATTTTTCTGACCTTTCTGCTTTCTGCTCATTTTCAGGTTCATCTGGTTCATCATTGCTGTCAAATTTTCTTTCTTTTGAGTAGGCGTACTTATTGTTTTTTGGTTCTGTTACATAGGAGCAAGATTCATAGTTACCACCTGTTTTAGGATCTTTACAAGACATACACGTCATACCGTCTTTTTTTACTTCTTTGCAGTTGCCGGGATTTTGTTTGATTTCTGCTGCTTGTTTTTCAGATAACTCTTTTATTCTTTCATACTCCTTGTGATCGTATCCTGAGTCATAACTATAAGGGTATTCGTAATCATTTTTGGGATTTTTCTCTTCTTTATATGCACTACTGTATGGACTTTCATCAAAGGCTTTAGGTCTTGAGATATATTCCGCTTTATAATTGTAAGGATCTTCATCTTCTTCGCTGTTTCTTCTCAAGTTTTCTTTTTTCTTTCCCCCAGCGTACCGCCGAATTCGAGATGGTCCTGTAATGTAAGTATGTATCTTGTATTTTTTTTCGTCATCAGGTTTATCAATTAATTCTTCCTTGCGGTAATCAAAGGGATGTGCTACTTCAACGTTCGTTGCTGTTGGTTTAAAATAAGCAGCCACTGTAGGATCATTTCTTAAGGCTGCTAAAATATTTTCTCCCTCGTCTTTTTCTTCAGGTTTAAAAACTTTATAATTAGCATCATGGACCGTGCGGATATCATATCTTAAAGGACTAAATTGCTCTTCTTTAGATAGCAAATGGACTTGCGTTTTTGGTGGTTGCAAGGTTAATTTTGCACTTTGGGCTGGCGGAAAGAAGCTTTGGCTAGCTATAGGATTAAATCCAAAATTTGAAGCTGAAAACACATTTTCTTTTGGCGCTAGACGACTTTGTATAGAATCAATGGAACTACTAACAATTGAATCAAATAAAAAGGGATATTGACTCTTGTCAGCTTTTAATATTACTGCGGAAACAGGATTCGATGCCAACGAAGCAATGCCTGAAAAAATGCTGGAACTTTATATATAAACTACGTAGTCACACATTCTTACTTTATGAATTCCATACATAATTTATGCAAAACTTGAAAAAATTACAGTTACAGTCCACGAAAGTTCATGCGACCAATGAATTACCTATATAAGTATAAAAAAAGTTTACTTAAATATGACGCTTAATACATTTTTTATATAGTAACTAATAATATTATAAACATGCGCATTTTAAATTTTCTGTTTTAATTTTAACGTAAATCAATAAAGATATATACCCGCATTTTCAGAATCGAAGAGGGGTCCAAAATCCAATGTTTGCACAAATCCATTTTCACTTTTCTCTTCGCTACAATGAACTCCGACATAAACCAACCCGAGAATTAACTGCAACAGAATCATCGTTAAAAATTAAAAAATATTTTTTAATATAAAAGCATAAAATTGTTTTATTTACCAGTCTAAAGAAATACTTCATTTTTTTTTATAAATGGGTCTAAACCCAAATAAAATGTTTGAAATTAGCTACTCCTCGCTGTATCGAGTAGTATTCTAGTTTGATTTTAGATGAAAGTAACGTAACATTATTACAATGACAAGGTTTTATAGGCAACAATATTGCGCAGGTGAAAGATCGGTGCAACAGAGCGCGCGGGCCACTCAAGCGTATCATACCGGACAATGTCCGCTTACTCCATCCGGCGATCGGTTGTGGGGTCAATAGCTGCAATAACCTGAGTAGTTGCTTAGAAGCATTATTTTAGATCCTCTGGATACTTCAGTGTGCCTTAGTCATAAGGAATTACGTAGCGATATCGATGAAGTTACTCTTCGCTGTATCGTAAATTAAGTCCTTAATGAAATGGAATATGGTATTTAAGTTCCATGCTTAGAAAAGTTAATTAAAACACATTTACTTTTTCTCAAAATAAAACTTTAACCTTGAATAACTAGATTTAATAAGTGGGAACTTAAAAGGAAAATATAGGATGGTTAATCGTACTTTCTGATACAATTAATATTCTTTGTACACGTTTTTCTTATCTCACAATCTATCAATTAAAGTCAATACTAAAAAAAATAAAAACTTGGTTAAGTGAAAGCGGATATTACGTTGATCCGTATCGGACATCAATGGATTTGCCACGAGTCGCAAACACCAACATCTATTAAAATATGCTGGATTTTTACTATTTGCTATTGCTAATTTTTTTAAAGAGAATGTAAAATACGAGCAAACAGTAATACAGGAGGATTACTCAATAGTATCTCACTCATGATTAGGACAACAGAGGTGATCGCTGGTATTTTTGATTGAAATACGTTTTGCAATTTCTTAATTTCCTAGTCATATCTTGGAAAATATATCACTGACCGAAAAATTACCATTTCATGTATAGCAAAAATGATCATGTACGGAAAATAAGAACTTTTTTAGAAGAAGCTTCGGGAGTGGATAGTCTCGAAATGCATTAACTAACACTATCCCATAATTTTACTACGGTTATATTAATCTTCCATTGATTTTTCATAATCCATTGATAATCTTCTTGCCCAATTTCAAATGTTAATGTAATGTACATTGCTTGTAAAAATTCACAAAAAGGGAAACTATACTACACACTATTTTCACTCGAACCCACGAACCTAGTCCTACTAATTAAACTACGTTGTAAGGGCAACCGATCCTTTGGACGAAGAAACCAAGATAGTTTGGCTTTCCACTCAAAAATGTATTTTCACATAAACAACGTAAGGAGCAAAGAGCAGTTCAGGTCATTCGAAATAAGTGCATCCGTCTTGCAGCCGGTGCTAGGTGGTGTCAGTGTAATGTTGTCCTTCATAGCGACTGCAGAATCCCGACACTACGCATGTCGGGATTCTGCAGTCTTCAGTTAGGGAGCTAACTAAACGGTTCATCGAAAGAACCCAAACCCATTCCAACCCTAATAAGCGCAGCGAACTGCCATCCCAGCATTCGCGCCCCTTCACAAAACCTCTCTCGCACAACGTTCTCATCGACCAAGAAGGGAAGGGATTCAGTTTCAGGAAGGGCTCATAGGTACATCGGGGCTACATAAAGAGCTAACACTCTTATGCAATAAGTTCGTACTTGTCTATGAACACAGCAAAACCTACAAAACGTGAACACAAGGTACCACCGCCTTCCATTGCGGTTCTCACCGCCCTTAGCCAGCGATTAATATAAGCAACGGCCATCGGTGTTACGGTCCGTACCGAACCTAGACGACCCATAGCTGACATTCCGCTCCATAGATGCGCCCACGCACGCACGACCACATGCGAGACTAACCAACGCGAAGGGCCGTATCAATCTCGTTGGATCTGGCTGTCTCACGAGATCTGCATCCGATGAAGCTTTAATAGTCCACGGACTAAAAGCAAAAACATCAGCTAAAGTAAAGTAAGAACGCAAAGAGTGTATTTTTGACGTGTCATAAAGTTATTTGCCATTACGATTATTGCAACGAAGCGTGAAGACTACTCCGTGTACGATGTTTTTGGACGGTCCATTAGGCGATGCAGAAAATGAAACATAGTGAGCAAAAACTGGAAAAAAAGACTTGATGCCATCGTCAAACTTAATGGAGAAACAGGCTTTTTGCCAAAGTAAACAGTTGTGAGCATTCAACCAAACATTATTTTTATGGACCGAGATAACATTAATGATGACGAAACTTGTTCTAAACGTACTACATATACATAGTATATGGTAAATGTATGCGAAGCAAAAAAAATATTTTTATGTTTCGAGTTATTAATATCCTACCTTTTCAAAAACTTTACCGACATCTATAGAAGATTTCATTCGTCTGAAACAATATTCGAAACACTTTCCAGTCTGTTCTAAATACCTCTTTTACGGCGTGCTCGCTTCACTTCGCAAGCGAAAATTTTAACATTATTATTTGAATTTGTAAACACAAATCATTTTGGTCTTATCTTTACTTTAAATGAAAATGTTATTGCTCAGTGATATACTTCATCAGGTGAAATTATTCCTAAGAAATGGGTTTCACTGCCGGTCTTCACCCCTGAAATCACGGAGATATCATTGAATATATATATGCGGTTTGTTCGTCATAATGAAGTAAATGTTGTTATAAATAAAATCATCGGTGCAAATCCAGGTCCACTTTCTGTGGAGCTGCTTTTTGAAGAAAAAGTTCATAATTTAGAATCCATTCTCCTCCATAAAGTTGACCAGCTGCTGCCCCATTAGGTTCCGTTGCTTTATTCTAAAATTACCCGCTCTTAACACATCGCGACTTTCTGCGTACTATGCCTTGAAGTCTCCCATTATCATCATATACTGCGTTTTGGAAGAATGTTTGGTCTCATAAATTGCGTCAACCTTAAAGTAGGAGTGTGTAGACGTTGTTGCGTAGACCTGTCCATGCTGTGGGTAATCCATACTCATACTATAAAAGCGAGTGTGTTTGTTTGTCCTTCTTTCACGTCGCAACGGAGCGATGTTATGGTATTATTATTGCGTATGCAGATCAGATAGGCTAGCTAGCTTAAATGTAAAAGGCCGAATCTGGCACTTTAAAATGATATTGTAAACAAAATAAATTCAGATATATTGAGTGAAGTAACAGGAAATATGGCAGAGTGTTTGTCAGTAGACACAGCTATGGATACATAACAGAGCACTTCCCACACCGTAGTTTCTAAATTCACTTGAACTGCCTAGTATCCCCTTTTTTTTAACGATGGGAAATGCATCATGCATACTCTCCTGCGGGGGAAGCAAGGAGAGTTATGTTGGACTCCCGCCCTGAGAAGGGCAGACCTACCAACTAAAACCCATCGGGTGTCCTCCTCTGCCGTCAAATGCTGAATTGCAGGGCCCGCTAAAGCGATTCTGCTGCAACCCAGCCACGGCTACCCCGACCCTGCACAGGGCTGGGGCACACCACGAAGGGACTTTTGTCCCCGTCCTCCGCATGAGTGCCCATGACATCAGTGAGCACTTTGCCTTCGCGGGGCCTCATACCGTTAGGTGACAGACATCCCCACGTCTGTCACCCGGAGGCCCATTAGGGCTGGAGACGGCGTTAGTGTGCCGCCCGCCTTCTCCCCATGCGACGTCGCCGGATCGGGTTGGAAGAAGCATACTCCTCCCTTTCGGCGGCCTCCTTCTGTGAGATGACTGTCTCGCAGAAGGAGGCCATCGCCCTCCACGCCACCCTGCTGTCAACAATTGCTCAAATGATGGTTGGCAGCGAGAGATCAGACCCGAAGAAATCACGGAGCCGCCCTCGCGGCTCCTTTATCATTCCGTTATCCGGCCACCATTGTACCTGCGCCGTATCGTCGGCGCAGGTACAATGGTGGCACCGGCTCGGTTCCCTCCCGATAGCGTGCAGTTAATGACCGAAGCATCCATGACCAGTCATCACCTGCACCATCCGGAATGACAAACTGCCATTTCGGGAACCGATCCACTTCTCCAGGACAGGCCTAATGGCCTCTGCCACTCTATGTCCGCCGGTTGGAGCCGCCAAACGTTCTTGCCAGGTGCGCATCAAAATGACGCGCGCCTGGCGTCGCCATCTTGCGATTCGTTTGTTGGTGGAAACGTAGCGAAGCTTGTCCGACATTATTCCGAAAATATCCCGGACACAGTTTAAGCGAAATTAGAATGGCTCTTGAACAGTTTAAAAATGGATGGAATTACAGCCGAACGGGTGACCAAGCAGTATAATCTGCTTATGTATGGCACATGTGGACTACTACATTTAGGTGGAAGTCCAGGCTCCTCAGCGGTGTTTGTATAGCAAAACCGTTAGGGTAGATACAGTCCAATAGTACTAATCTTATCCAACTGCAGATGGGTGTAAGACAGGTTGATGTCATATCCCCGAAACTTCACCGCTGCATTGGAAGTTTTCAAGAAACATGACAATGAATTAACGAACACATTACCCACCTTCGATTTGCCGACGGTATGGTTGTCATTATGGCAGAAGCGCTGGTATATCTCCTAACGAGTGGGCCTCAAGATGAACATGTCAGTCATTACGGTTAGGTATACAAATTCCACGCAGAATTAGCGAATCCAAATTGGATGGGCAGCGTTCGCCATACTTCGGCAAATGTCCTCGTCAACTATCTCTCAATGTTTGAAGATTAAAGTCTTAAATCAAGAATAACACGGGGATGCTATTTGCTTTAACTTCCTATTCTAGCTAGCATAACATACCAGCTTAATTGGTAGAACCGGACGGAGCAATGGCGAGAGCGGAGAATGGCGAGGTTGTTACAGCTTTATTATTTATATCAAGAAATAAAAAACAATGAAAAATCGGTCTATTATTAAATTTAATTTCATGTTGTACAAAATAATTACCTACATTAATAATATAAGATTAATAATATGGGATTAATAAATATATAATTAAATAATAAATCAACCAATTAATTAGTTACTTATACACAATATGGAATGATTTCTTATTAACTAAAAAGCGTGGAATAGATACAATTATTTGTAAATCGCATTTGAAAGTAGCTATGGAAATTGTGCTAACCGTATCCAATAATAGATATTTAATAACAAAAAAATCTTTTATTCGAAATAATTTAAAAATCTAGATCTAAAATTTATTTATTTTGATTACTACATTTTAAAGCTGCTGACTTCTGTATATTCAGTAAGAAAAATATTAAACCTCAAAGTTTTATATGAATGCTATATGCATTACGCATCTAACATAATTTATTAGCAAAAGAAAATGTTCATGAATTAAATGAGGCTCGTACACGCAGTTCCCAATTAATACGAAGTATACTAGAGTAAAAGTTGACACGTACGTGAAAATTAATTTTATTCAGAGCCGCAATTGTCATCGTTGTTTTATTTTAAAAGTTTTTGTTTTTACAATATTTCAAAGCCTTTCAACTCGGAGTTTCGAGTGATTTGTACCAGAAGATCCTTATTACATTACTGTAAATGATAGGAAGTATAGTTAAGTAAATAATTTACAATTGTGTTAATTTTTCATAAAGTTGGTGAACTGCTGGATCCTTCTCCCCCTCGAGAGATCGCAATATTGATTTCTGTAACAAGTAACATTAATGAAACAAATGAATCATACTGTTTAATGACATCATACACAGGGCCTGATTTAGAGGTCTGTAGGCCGCGGGGCGACATCAAAGTGCAGGCCCCTTGGCCCCAAATTATTTTCCAAATAAAATGAACAATTCTTTTATTATTTACCGAACATATAAATATAACTGGAAACAAGAGAGATCATTCCTAAAATAATATTCTAGCGTTAACAAACGTTCGCAGCTTTTTTCTTCTTTATGTACAAAGCACTGTAGATAAAGGTAAAACGCAAAAAAAAATATGAAAGGAAAATGTTTTTACCAGTGTTTACTAGCCTGCATTTGAATTTTAAATCAAATCCCCAAATCCGGCCCTGATCATACACACTCTTTAGGCCAAATGAACATACCGCTAACTTGTTATTCGAATCCTGCAGTTTCTGCGACAACGTCCACAAATTGTAGGCTAAACTCGACATGGCCGGCTCTCTTAGGTCTCCGCGCCTTGTCACTCGCCAAAACAATTCCAGGGCCAAATTGTACTGTTTCTTCGACTCCTTATTATTGCCAAGCAGCTTGAGGACAACCAGCAGCTCCTGACAAATGTTCGTTGAGCACTTCTCGATACTGTCGATGAATTCCTCTTCGGAGCCGTATAATTCGTCATTGGATATAACTTTAACAAAGTTTGATCATGATAATTCAAAGTTATTCACAAAAAAACTTTTTTCAAAGGATTTATTAAGTAAAATGCAATTTAAATCTCTTAAAAAAAACGTTATGATATAAGGGTTTTTATATACATAGAATATGAAATATGGTCACTGTGGTAGGACCACGCAACAGTATTCTTTGTTGCACGAATGGGCAGGTCCGTGCGAATTAGTATCACGACCTCACAGAAGACCGGCGTAAAGTAGAACTGTTACACTTCTGCGTTTCGTCTGGTGAGTGAGGTTTAATAATGTGGGCCCCGGCTACCACATTAATAAAAGGTAGCAACACGTCTGCAACCGGTGTTGCAAATGTCCGTGGGCGGCAGTTGTCACTTAACATCAGGTGAGCCGCCAGCTCGTTTGTCACTTTTTCACATAAAAAAATATATATGAAACTCACCAAAGTCTATGTGATAGGTATATTTCTCCTGAGCCATTTCACAAAGCAAATCCAAAGTTTTAAGGAGCAAGTTATAATACAACGGATCCGTTTTCTTCCAGTGTATCCTTTCCATAGTTTTTATAAAACCGCTCAGCACGTAGGCCTTGCAGTTACTATCCACGTTATCCTATAAACACAAAAACTAGTATTATAATCGTGAACGAAAACGCTGATAATTTAGTCGAAATATAAAGTTAATGGCGGTTGGGAAGTAAGCTGTACTGTATGTCTCCAAGTTAGTCAACATTGTAGGTACAGGTAGGTAAGAAACAAAGAGAAAATAAAAAACGTACAGGCAATATTAGTAATGTAGAGAGAAAGTTGCTGAGGAGGCCAATTAATCTGTCGTGTGTGGACTTTTTTTGGCCGTCTTCTTGCACGAACTCTGGGATGTCGGGTATGATACCGACCAATGCCTTGAAATTGGCCTCAGCTGCGAATAATAAATATAACAAGTGCATATTAATTATAATAAAACTATTTCGGGCTTTATCAGGGCCATCTTGATGACACGAGTTATCATAGTCTTCTGTGAGGTCGTTATACAGGGATGCTTTTCTAAGTGTATCCATTTATGTTAATTAAATACTAGACATAAATAATGTTATATAAAAAATTATAAATATTTAAAATCACTCGTAATTAATTAATTACAATAATTTGAACTTATCTCAAAAAGTGCGTGATATATGGGCAACTCATTTATTTTACGCACAATCATTCAAAACTAACACGCACTCAAGTGTAACTATTGAACATTGGACAAATGTATAAATAATATTAAGGCTACATAATTCAAGTGTACGAGTAACTACTGAACATTGGACAGAAGACAAATGAAACCACGCAGCCTAGCCAGCGCTGAACAGTATCAAAAGTGCCGCCCGAAGGACGGACATCGCGGGTCGCGCGTAGCCACTGGCTCGGGCCGGTGGCCAGTGCGCCGAGCCAGTGTCCAGCGGCCCGAGCCCGCACCCTGGCCGATGCAGCCGCCGAGCAGGGCCGCCTGCCCCGACTCGAGGTAGAGGTGCGCCCGCGCCGAGGGGCACCGCAGCGACGGCACCGTCACGAAGCAGTACGCGGCGCACGCCCGCTGCAGCCAGCGCTCGCGCTCGCGGCTCGCCCGGCACGCCAGCGCGTTCACGGCCTGCGCAGTCCCCAGTCCCCAGTCGATCGGCGCATCACTACACAAACGTCACATCACTACACCAGACAAACGGCCTATCTGCAGTGACGGAACGTAAGTTGGAACAAGTGTATAAATGTACACTTTTTAAAAAAAATATCTTCTAACATATAAAATTCTCGTGTCGCGTGGTGTTTGTAATTGAACTCCCCCGACCGATTTAGGTGACATTTTGTGTGTATATAGGCCAGGGTGGAGAATCGGACAACATCTATTTTTCATCCCCCTAAATGTTACGGGTGATCCACTATAATTTCTTTTTGTTATTTTTTATATAAAATTATTTGTTTTTATTTTTTATGATACAGCATTCATAAATACATACAACCCTAAATTTTCACCACTCTACGCCAGGCGTAATCGCGGGCAGCAGATAGTATACTTATAAATATTTTAGAACACATTTTTACACAACGTTCTCTAGTCCCAATGTAATCAACGCTTGTACTATGGGTACTAGATAACTGATATACATATTTAGATACACTTTTCTTTTGTAATTAACTACATATATCCAGCCAGAACTTTAACTGTGTGTGTAACAGCCTCGACTGCTGCACAAATGGGTAGGCTCGACCGGGTAAGTACCACGACTTCACAGAAGACCGGCGTGAAGTGGAAGCATAATACTTTCGCGTTTCGTTTGGTGAGTGAGGTAGACGGAGCCCAATATAAAAAGGTTGTGAACGCATCTGCAACCCTCGGGTGTAGCAGATGTCCATAGGCGGCGGTATTCACTTAACATCAGGTGAACCGCCTGCTCGCTTGGCAACTTTTCACATAAAAAAAGACTGGAAAAGCACTATGTTCATCACACAATAATTTTCCAGTAGTGGGGATCAAACCCATACTCTCTGGCGCAAGAGGCAAGTCCACGCCAATCGCTCCCTTTTTGGATCTGTAAAGAAACACGTTTCCCTTGTAAATAAAATATATACAGAACCACCGGAGTCAACGTTTTAATTAAAAATAAATAACGACATTACATTCTTCACACCGACGAAAATCTTAACGGATTTCACGTCTACTTTGTTTTTTTTTTATTACATTTCGAAGCAATGTTTGGCGTTTTCTAGTGGATTTCTTTATAGCAAACGGTGGTTGTTTTTTTTTTTTTAAATTTCATCACTTAGTCCAAAAAATGGCATTGTGAAATTAAGATCCTTTAAAAATAAGATTCGCTATTACGAAGAAGAAAAGCATGTTCTTCAGGCAAACATGGAAACCCCAAATCGAGTCTTACGTGAACCAGCGCAACAAGAACTGCATCGAGTTTGATGAAAGCAGAACGGCACTCCACGTAAAAGTTGAGTTGCTGCTCAAAGTCGTCCTGATGCTTTACCGCGTACACGTACTTAATTATCAAATCGGCGCACGCTTTGCTCTCGTCCTCCACAGTGACCGCGCTGTGAGATAATATATTGGTTTTCTTATACCACACTCCACTACAATTAAAAATAAAAATATAAAAGCATTATATACATTTTCCACTTCATTCTTAAGAAGGGTCACGTTTAGGCATATTTTGTTACATGAGAGAGAAATAAGATGTAACGTAGAGAGAGAGGGTGATGTATACACGATCCATATAGAAAAAAAAGTAAGAGGTACCTCACTGCGGATTGGCACACTTCACATATATACGAAGTATTTTTTTTTGTTATGATTTCGAAAATATGCAGTTTTGCTCACAACGTTCACCGCTAAGCACATGATAAACCAGCACTTAACATTTTTATCGGTGTTGGCATAAATGAAATTGTCGATTTCAAGTGGGGCAATTAAGAGATTTGAACTCAGATTGCTCGAGTGTAATGAATATCAATAGCTTTTGCATTACGTGATGGCATCGTGCAGTATGCAGCAGAGTCTCATGAGACTCGAGATCAGGATCGGGTCGTCGACGTGCACCGCGCTGTATCGCTCGAAGAATATAGAGAGTACCGTCTTCGCTATGGCCGTCCGGGCATTCGATGTTTGCACCAACTCCAGCAATGGCATAAAGGCGTCCTGAATACATTAAAAAAGGACATTAGCTGATGCAGTCACTTGAATTTTAATTTTTAATAACATCCCTTAAATAAACATAGACCTCTGCATTTGAAATTGTTTTGTTTTTAGAGCATGGAACAAATATGCATCTCTAAGTTCATAGCACTGGTAGTGCCGCGTGGGTTAATGTTAAGACTATTAATGTGATAAAAATATTACCATCAAAAACAATTCTTCCACATCAGGAATGGATTTCAGCATTCTTCTGATCACTAAATGGAAGTTAGATGAAAATTCCTCAGCCGGCTTGCCGCCCTTGAGCAAGAATCGAATTGTGCCTCGCAGAATGATGTTCGTGTGCTGAGTCTGTTGTGAAAAGAAAACCGGATCAAAGTTGCAAAACATCGTGGCGAACAAAGAAAGAGGCGGCGAATAAATTTAGTGCGGGACGAGAAAGACAGATGCACCTGGAGATTTTTTTAACCTTATGCTAAGGAGAAAAACACTTGCCGTCCTCTTTTTTCATAATACTTTAATTACGCTATTCATTTTATACCATTCGAACGAAACGTGTGAATGTGTGCTGTTACTGTTTGGAAATAGGAACACTTTCACGTTTGATAAGTCTCGTGCACAGTTCACATTCCCAATAACAGAAACACATTAATATTTGTAGAAAAATTGACGAAAAGTTTTTCGCCGCTGCGGGACCCAAACCCACACCTTATCAACCTATTTCATCTACATTATTTTTTCGCATAATTTAAGCGAGCATAAACCATTTCAAATAAAGTTTTACAATGATAATTCACACGAGATGTGTCGCCTTTGCTATTGAAATTTTATACTAAATTTTTAGTGATAATAGCAGTGAACGCAAATTAAACATGGAAGGCGCACGTTCATACAAGTGATTGTTAATAAATAGCACCACAACTAACAGTAATCACACACAAATCAATAATATATATTGAATTATCTTCAAACAAAAATGAACTTATTTGTTAGGTCAACTAAGTCTATAAGACTAATTTGTACAATACACCTGACGGCGTTTCTATATACCGGCACCACGAACGGTATCATTGAGCGCGGTAGTTGACAAGACGTTGCAGTAATGCCAGATGCTGCTAGACAAGCGAAAAATATTCTCCTTGGCTGGCTTCTTACCCTCTCGTACAATGAAACAGAAAAAATCGTTATAAACACCCACAATGGACTGCATAATTATATAATATTTTTACTTTAAATATTTATCTCATCTATATTATAATATTTATCTATACCACACATCTATTTATGTAATTTATGGTCTCGATACAGGCGTCGCCTAATGTGAATACCGCGGTTAACTAACTGTTTTCAAAATGTCTCAGCATATATATTTTTAAACAGCTTTTATCCATTGTTCTCTCTGTTCAGAGATTTTCTATTTCATTTATGACTTCTCTTTAAATTCAAATATAAAATAAAACTAATATAAATTGAAAATCTTTGATTAAATGAATTTATATGGCATAACGTCATCCCGTAAAACCGCCTCGCGGTACAGTTTATATGCCCGGTTCAGTTTTCGTTATGCCATTTTATTTGAGCGAAAATAATCCATGTTGTATTTGCTCTCACCGGATAGTAGAGATTTTAATGTTTCATCTTTCTGTATCTCTCTCTTTCAAGATGAAACATTAAAATTTGTAGAAAAAAAGGGCGAAGAATGCGAAAATGTTCGGAAGACGGGGTTTCGATTTGAAAAACTTTTTGCCCATTTTTTCTACAAATTTAAGTGCATAATATAAAAAATTATTATAAAGTTTAACAGGAACATAAAAAGTCAACGAGCATTCGACCACAGCCGAATAAAAAATCGTCGGCCAAATGCCGGCACTATACAGCCAATTCCTTTGCATTCAACAACTTACAGACAATCGCGTGCACGCGAACTGTAGCCATGGTTCGAGAACTTGTAGAAAGTTGACAGTCGATCTGATGTTGCTCGCAATTTTCCACCAGGTCTGACTCAATGATTCCGACGGCAACCTTCGGTAGTTGCCAGCATTACAAAGGTGCTCGCCCAACGATCCCAACACGTGGCTAAGGAGTACTGTACAATAATATTTTCGTTTTAAAATGTTTATTAAATGTTTTATAAGATTCTTTTCATCCATTTTTCTCAGTTCCCACTTATGCTACAATTAATGGTACACCATCATTTTTATTCTGCTGATTTAACTCAGTTATCTAGGATTACAGTAACAGTTTTTGACTTTCGGTACCAACACAAAATTTGAAGAATATACAAAAAAGGAGAAAATTAAGTAATATTCAAAAATAAGGAATATCAAAACCTATTAAAATTGTATTAGATTTTAGATAATCCTGTTCATTCGTTCCATTATTCTTACTAAATTGTACACTGAATATATTGATAGGTAGGATAGTAATGCATCTTTTTGTTGTCTTTACAGTTTCTGGAATATTCCCCGTATACGGTAACCAAATAAATATGTTAGCAACTCTATGAACATGATAACAGACTTTTTTACCTCTTGCTAATTCAAAGTATAGCATTGCAAATTTTACACACATATAGGGAATATTCTTACAGGTTCAATTGCTTATAGAAATGTCAGTCTATATAATACGTCAAAACTGTAGGATATCCGCTGGTCATTTCGGGTTTAAAATTAAGATTGAATATCAGACACAGATAATAAGCGTATATTTATAAAATAAAAAAATTAGGTTCTTACCCATTTTCTCGGCAGATTTTTGTATTGATTCTAAAATTCTTGCCGAGTGTTCGATAATACTCTCGGAGTCGAATGACGACACAATGCAAGCTAATAAAAGTTCACTAAAAACAGATATTAAAGATTAATTCATTGAAATAAAAATTATTTACTTATCTTATCCATTAAACGAGCAATTCTTGTATATATACAGCGTGTCGTTACCATCGCGACAATAAATGAACACACGTCTAACGCTACTTGACAATAATCATAAAAAAAATATTAACGTTAAATAAAATCCATAATTAAAAAAAATATATTTTTCAAACAAACTAATTAAGTAAAAAAGAAACAAAACAACTCGCGCCACAGTGTCGTATTACAAGCCTCTCCTTTTAACAGTATGTTTTGTCTCTTTTAACTTCATTCATCCCATTCATATGCTTTGTGACCTTTACAAATGAACTTTACGTTACGCTTTTATAGGTAAGGGTGTTCTAAAATTCTTTGTTTTGAACAATTTAATAACTCTGTAAATATTGATGTTTAAAGAATTTAAATGTTTAATACAACGTTAAAAAGTTATCCCCTATATGTGTGTTCATTTATTGTCGCGATGGTAACGACACGCTGTATATAATCGGAATCTCGGAAACGGCTCCAGCGATTTTTAAGAAATTTAGTATGTATGCGTAAATTCGGAGGCGAAAAATCGATCTGGCTAGGTTTCATTTTATAAAATGTAGTTTTCAGGGAATGAAAAATATCACTAGAAAATGACGGTAAATTTCACCGAAAAAAAAATGTTATAATAGCTCCGTCGGTAATCGGGCGGCCCCGAAACAGAAGGCCGTGGTTCGTGTCACGATCATTTACACACTTTTTTTTTCGATTCCAGATCATTGCTTTCTTTATTTTTTATTTTTTGTCGATCAAGATGATTTCGTTCTTTTCTCCCTTTTTTTAAAGTTATTTCTTTTGTGAATAACACCTGTTTATATTTTCTTATTATTACGTCGTTAAGATCGAAAAATATTATGCATATTTCATTACTCAGTAATTTTTATCTAAATGTAATTTCCAAAATACACGATTTACTAAAAAAAAACACTCCTCCAGGTCCTCCAGGTACTATATAGTAATCAATAAAAAACTAATGTGTAATAGTAAATCTTTAGTAAATATTTATTAGTAATATTTGTAAAATAAGGTCCCGATAAAAAATAAACCCCTATAAAGTTCCAACCAAAACTTACGTTTGCCTCGACCGAGACCGAAGACAAAATAAATTTTAAAAGTTATTTTCAAACACAAATTCTTTTATTAGAAATATTCAAAGTACATATATATTCACTTAGAACCTCATCAAAATTGAACTTCACTATATTATAACATAACAAAAGCAATTTTAATTTTTTATTAGATGGTTTGAGAGTTTTAATGGCTCATTGTCCGGGCGCTGGTCGCCCCTCAGTGTCGGCACCAATGAAATTGTTAATTTCCAGTGTTGACTTATGACATGCTCAGCGGTGAAGATAAGCATCGCGAGGAAACTTGCATATCATAGAAATAATAACAAAAAAATATTTCGAAGATATGTTAATTCCGCCAAGCAGTGGGGTCGCGTGGTGGACTATGCCCTAATACCCTTCGTGCAGAGGAGGCCTTTGCCCAGCAGTGGGACATAAAATACATGCTATTACTTTACAATAAAAGCTTCACATGGATATAATATCGGCGTATACACGCCGAGAACGAGTGAGGACAACTTTATTAAATGCATCCGTAACCCTACGGGTGTTGCAAATGTCAATGGGCGACGGTTTTCACTTAACATCAGATGAACCGCCAGCTCGTTTGCCATGTACATACATAAAAAGTGTAAATTTCATATAGTCAAATATAGTTTAAGATATAGGATAACTACCAACCAGAACTGTCATCAATTCTTAATGATAAACTACAGGAAATTAACTTACTTATTTTCCATGTTATCGCATTGATCGAGAAATACTTTCAAAAGAGCAGGTTTGGAATTATGGTGGTTTAACGCTCCTAACATCAACCAATTAACTGCGGGCTCATAGAGATTTAGATATTGATCGAGTGTCAAAAGTTGTGTTTCATATTTCTTCTTCATCATTGGGTGGAAAATCTAAAAGAATTTTATTAAAAATTATAGTCTATTTTAAATGTTTATAACTTAATGCCGAAATCATATTACGATTTCCATAAGAGACTAGAAATTCTTTAGAATCTTGATTCTAATGAAACCAACAAAGGACCCAATATTCCTCCAACATAGGCAATATTTCAGTGATTACAAGTACATCATTACAAGTAATCACTGAAATATTGCGTATGTTTCATATTTCTTCTTCATCATTGGGTGGAAAATCTAAAAGAATTTTATTAAGAATTATAGTCTATTTTAAATGTTTATAATTTAATGCCGAAATCATATTACGATTTCCATAAGAGACTAGAAATTCTTTAGAATCTTGATTCTGATGAAACCAACAAGGGACCCAATATTCCTCCATGTACCCACACATGCTCGTTGGCTTCACTATTCCTCTAACATTCGCAATATTTCAGTGATTACTTGTAATGTTGTACTTGTAATCACTGAAATATTGCCTATGTAAGAGGAATATTGGGTCCCTTGTTGGTTTCATCAGACGTTTTCTTCCAATTTGTGATAGTATCAAAGCGAATTACTGAAGCAAGGCGATATTTTTTTTATTTATATTAGAATGTGGTACGCGAGCTACCGGATCACCTTATCTTAAGCGATAACTGCTTCCCATGGACATTTCCAACACCCGTAGGATTGCAGATGCATTGCCACCTTTAAATAAATTGGGCCGACCTCACTCGCCTGAAACGCAGAAGTTTAACACTTCCACTTGACGCCTGTCTTCTGTGAGATCGAGGTATTTCCCCGGACGGACCTGCCCATTTGTGCAACAGTGAAGACTGTTGTGTGGCCCTACCACAGTAATCATACTGTGTAATTTTGATGGGACTAGCTAAACTTTGTAATTTTTAAGTGCAAAAAGTGAACAATCTTTAATGATAATACATATCAGCAATCTGATCAGTATAAAAACGCATATTAAGTATTTCGTTTTTAAATTGACCAACCCAGTGCAGAAGTTCTTAAGATCACTCTACTATTTGTCATGATACTATTTAATCATAGATGTTTATTACCAAAGTGAATTAAAGTATGTTAGAACATATACAAAAAGCTTTCGCACCTGTTGATATTCATCAAGAAATTCTCTTAAATTTTGATGAAAGAACTGCTCACTCTGCTTGCCTAAAAGTTTAGAAGCAACAATGCATAAATAAACTCTTAAATAAATCGCCACCAGTGGATTCCCAATGCCTCTGATCATTGTGGTAAGCCTTTTTATTGCCGATGTTATTTCATCCTTATTTATGAAGACATAGCATTTCAACAAAGACATTTCCATGTATAAGCGTGGCAGCAGTTCTCTAATTGAAGCCATTTTAAACATCCAGTTCTGACATGTCTCTTTGGCTGTCTCTGGGACAAGACTGGAATCAATATCTAATGGTGATTGTACATCTACCCTGTAATGAGCAGACATATTTTAATATATGTCATATATAATATTTATATAATATTATATAATATTTTAACTCTTCTAATTGAATTATAAAGTGCCTTGTATGCATGTAGTATTTTAATTTTGTCAATATTATATTACAATATGCACAGTGAGTAGAATCTGTTAATATAATATTAGGATGTTGTCAAAATAAACCAATACAACCTTTAATACAAAATTTACTAAGGATTTCCTAATTACTTTACTTTATAAATTTGTTCGAACAATAATGTTACCCAAACAAAGTTATTGAAATTAAATTACTTACCCACAACTCTTTTTTTGCAATCGGCGAAATACCAAATCGCCAAAATTATCTAGTATGTCATTGATCAGTATAAATTTACTTGGATAAAATTGCATCACATTGACATCTGAAAGTAACTTTGAACACTGTATACAAATTTTAAATGCCTTTACTCTTTGTTCAGAATCCCATGCCTGGAAAAAAGAGTACATTTTAAATTATAATCCAGCAATGTTTTTTATTTAAGTTTGGATTTTATTATTATAGAAAACGGTTGTTTTTAAAATAATCTGCAAGCCAAGTTTTAGGGTTTTTTTTGCTCTTAAGGCATTTTTGCTGAAAACAATCTCAAAAAATATTGAAATGAATTGTTTTACGTCTCGCATTTTTAAATTTATACCGATAATTGTTGTTTTATTATTGATAGATAGGTGTTTAGTCGTTTGTATAAATCAGAAGACAAAATTATATTAAATTGATTTTTTTTCATAAAAATTTAATGTTGCATTTTTCACTTATTTTGAAAAAAAAACATGATAACACAAAATGTTTCACTTTTGCATAATGCATATGGGGGTTAATCGTAAATAGTCACCCCTATAACCTAATGGGAATATGTCGAATTACCAATAATCCTGTATAAAGTATAATATATAAATGAATGACTCAGTGCCCCAGTTGCCAAAGAATCTAAAAAGGCTTCGGCCCCGGGAGTCATGGGTTCAATTCCTACATGAAACAACTATTTGTGTGATCCACAGATAATTGTTTTAGATGTGGGTATTTGTCCACATGAAATTTGTGTCAGTATAAAAACAGTTGTGTAACATGTTACATAAACAGGATAATGTGACACAGCGGTTGTTGGGACTTTGACCTAAACAACAATTAATAACTTTCACATAATATCTAAAGCCCATTTTTTAACAATAATTGTAAATAAAAATTATGTATTAAATGCTATGTTTGATGTCTCAAATTGAATCTATAATTAGAATACAACTAAGAAGCAAAAGACCAAAATGAAAGATCTGTACTGTAATTACCTTTGTAATTTCATCATCTAACATGTTTATTTTAGTGATAAATTCCTGTTGACTAAGACCCATTGTCTTCCTTATTGAACCTTCATCAAAATCGTCTAATTGCTCCAACCTATGTTTTACTTTCTCATTTAAATTTGATACTTGCCTAATAAGAGCTGAAAAAGAACTAACTTAAAACAAACAAAAAAAGAACAAAAATTAAAAAGTCATGAAATTATTCAAAAGTAAAAGAATATGTATTAACACCAATATTTGAATCTAAAACATAATCAGAATAGTTCTCTTTCATAAACATGTACATAAACACTGATGGAAGCAAAGCAGTTGGTGGTTTAAGCAGTCAATATGATTGTCACTCAATAACAGTATAGTACAGTTTTTTCAGGTTGTGGTAAAATTATTACATTTCTTAAAAAACAAAATAATCGGATTGTGTTGGTTGAAATTAACTTTTTTTTTATGTTAAACAAATAAAGACATCTACAACACCCGGTAGCTTTGCGTTGGCTGATGCATTGACAACTGTTAAAAAAGTGGGCCTTGGTCATCAGATGAAATGCGAGAGTATAAAACTTCCATGAGTCTGAGGCACAGTTGCCAAGATATTAGCTTCAGCACCGTGGGTTGTGGGTTCATTTCCCACATAAAACAGCTATTTTTGGGACCCACAGATAATTGTTTCAGATCTGGGTATTAGTATGTGAAATGTCCTTGCAACACATGATAATGTTATCCTACAGTAGGCTATGTTTTCGAAGGGTAGAATACAATAGATCTTCTAGGTTACAGTGGTCTTTGGGACTTACTACCAACACCTTCCACACAAAATACAAATACAAAATTGCAATTAATTAAACTTTTATAATAATCTTGCCTTAATTTAACTTACAAGCTGATATATAATTTTTAATTTGTTATATTAAAAAGGGTAAGATATTTACAAATATCAAAGATATAATAAAATAGTAACATATTGACAATATATATTCACATTTTTTTTATAATTGAAATACTATGGAATAGATATATAGTGATAAATAACTATATTATTGAAATTTATTTTAAATTAATTTTTACCTTTTTCTCCACCTGGTAAGAAACTGCTAACAATTGTCAATTTTTCTCCTGTTGTAAATTTACTTAAAATGTGTGTTTTCCTTTTGCTCCAAGATTTTGTATAATCAGTACTCATATCTCCATCCGTTGTTGGACCAACATCCTAAGTTATGTTAACAGTGCAAATTATTAATAACAAAACTAAAAGCATTACATTATTATTTTTTTTAAATAATAACAATATTTCAGATACTCTTAATAGTTGTTAAAAAAAAATAAAAAAGTATATCCAATTTAGGTGATTGCTAATCGTTAGTTTATTATCTTACATTCTGATTAAAATATACCTCGTCAACATTCATTTTCTCAAATTTCATCAAAGGATCTATCTCTTCAAATGCTGCACTCCATTTATTTACACTTTCAATAAAAGTTTTGCTTTGTTTCTGCAAAAAAGTTCTATATGAAATATACAAAGATTTTTTTTTTATATTAGAATTAATACCAAATTTCATCTGAGTTTTGTAAATAATTTGAATATACAATTAAATAAAGACAAAGAAAACGCCATACCATACTCATTATTTCTACTTTCAATGGATGTGTTGACACTTTTAAGCTAGGATAATCATTTCTATTTCTCATTGTTTTTTTAAATGTAGTCCTATTAAAATAAACATAAGATTAAAGAAGATTTAAGTTTTACATGAAACATTAAAATTTTATTTAAATCTATTCTAAAATACCATTTATAATATGAAGGCATAGTGTTAAAAGTTAAGATCTTTAAACTTGGACTCTAAGAGATGTTGAGTTAATTTATAGTAAAAAATTGTTATAGATGTTACAAAAAAAAATCCAATCACAGGCAATTATTTGTTTTCATTGTTTAATAAAGGTACCACTGTCCACTATCCATCCAGTAAAACAAAACAAATTAACAAACGAACAATTTTTAGTTGACAATTCACACTAGATCCCTATATACAAAAGTACTCTGTGCACTACATTCTGTGATCTGTCACAACACGGTCTTGACAGCAGGGTTGGATTTAGGTGTGGTAAAAAAGATAGTACAAAAAATTGAAAAGGATAGTATTTGACAAAAAATTATAGTACACTATTACTTTCATAATTAATGCGAAAAAAATAATTATTTTACTAAAAAACTCGCAGAAAATAATAAATTAATCGTACCACTAGACAATTATGAATTCTATTACCTAGTCAATTGAGTGAGTTGTTGTGGATTTACGTGACAAAAAAAAAGAAAATAGTGATTCTGCTGTTTTTTGTTGTTGTAATATAAAAGTTTTCATTAATAGATAACCTTTCATCACATGACATAATATTTAATAAATACATAAAATTTAAGTAATAAAAAGCTTTTCTCAAGTTGAACTATTTCAATATAAAATAGTTTCTTAGCTTAGTTTTAGTTATCACATTAGTCGGGTTTCCCGGGATGCAGACTTTTTTTTTTTGTTTAAAATGTGTCCTGTGTATATTTTTTCACAAAGTTGTTGCATAAAGCGGCGGGATAGCGAATGAACTGTCAGGCAATTTTTTTTTGGGCTGGTTAAGCCACTAATGGCCTTAGGGGCCACTAAGGGCGCTCGGGGCGCCTAGCCTGAACCTCGGCGTATTATTATTACGCGTTATGGTGACTAAGCTCGAGGGCTCCCGAGGGAGCCTCGGCTCTGGCCGTCACGCTATTATTTCCACCGGTTTGGGAGGCCGCCCAGCTCTTAGGGCGCTTTGGCGGGCGCTCCATGGAGTAATCAGGCTCAAGGGTGCTGGGCTGGGGCTGTCTCTCAACACGCGTTTAGCATTCCGATTCGAGGGTGCTCTTGAGGGCCGGACCTCGGCTCCATCCGTAGCTATTATCTGACTGGGGGAATTTCTAGAGCTAATATTACTACCACTACGGAGAGCGTTTTCTCAAGTGCTATCATTAATAGGGGAAAACCTGCCAAGTTCGTGGCGGAACCTAGTACATGTTTGCTGCCACTTGCCGGCGAGTGCGGTGTGTGTTGGTGTGTTTCCTGAGTTTTTTAATTCTTTCGATGGCGATAGTCATCTCATCGTCAGGGAAGTCGAGAGCGTGTCGCGATCTTCGGTAATCGCGGCGTAAAGTATCTAGCGGCAAGGGCCTGTAGGTGGCGGCGCCTACGATTAGTGGGTTGGGATGCGCGGCGGCGGAATCGAAATATCGGCGCGACGCCGACTTCAGGAATTGGATTGAATGGAATTGAATAGGCGATGGTGGGCAACTCTAGATCGACATGTAGGTCGATATTGCGCATGAACCAGGGTGCTCCCGTGGCTCTGCGCAAGAATTGATTCTGAATGACTTGAATCCGGTATATTCGCTTCGGAGCAATGTGAGCGAAGACGAGGCTCGCGTAAGTCATGATAGGGCGAACTACTGCCTTGTATAAGGTCACCTTGTTCCGAAAGGACATTTTTGCCATTTTATTGAGGAGCGGGTAGAGGCGACCGAGTACGAAGGCCGCCCGGTTTCTGACCTGGGTCACGTGCTCCGATTTAAGCTGGGAGTCGAGGACGACGCCTAGATATTTGACTTTATTAACCCATGATACTGGGCTGTCCATGAGTTTAACGGGGGGTGGATTGGGTATATTCTTTTTATGTGCGAAAAGGACGGCCGCGCTTTTGGTGGGATTAATCTCGATCCTCCATTGCCGAAACCAGTCACCGTTGGTGATGGCCGCAGCTTGAAGGCGTTGATGGATTAATTCGGGTGTTCTGCCTGTGGTAAAGAGACAGGTGTCGTCGGCAAAAAGGGCAAGTTCTACATCTTTGACACGCGGCATGTCATTGGTGTAGAGAGTGAACAAGACTGAGCCCAACACCGACCCTTGGGGCAGCCCGGCTCAAACGGGATGCGTAGTCGAACACACGCCCTTGACGCGATAGCAAAAGGTCCGACTACTTAGGAAGTCTCGTATTATGCATACGAGATGGTGGGGCACTCCGAACCCGTATAACTTGTATACGAGCTCGTTGTGCCAGACTTTATCGAACGCCTTTGCCACGTCAAGGAAGAGTGCTCCGGTGTTGAGTCCGCGTTGGCGTTTAGTTAAAATGTGCTCTGAATGTGATGCCGTGCACTTGGTGGGTACATGAGTGTTTGGCTCTGAATCCAAACTGCTCTGGAATGGGGAGCCCTTTGGTGTCCATAAGGGATCTTAAGCGGGCTAGTATTAGTCTTTCAAAGATCTTCCCAAATGTTTTGAGAAGACTTATTGGACGATATGAGGTTGGGAGAGTGGTGGGTTTAGAGGGTTTGAGGAACCCTATGACATCAGTTTCCTTCCACTCGGATCGGAAGAAGCCTTCGGTTATGGCCGCGTTGTAAATTAATACTAGTATCTGAAGGATGCTAGTAGGGAGGAGCTTGGCCACCTTATTGGTGATACCATCTGAGCCTGTTGCTTTACGTCGGCGTAGTTTTTTGATTGTGTCGACTAGTTTGGAGCACGTGACCGGGGGAACGGGATCGCGAAGTGGCTCTAAATCTTTCCTTTCTACCTCTTCGTTCACCTTACGGAGGTGTTCGGGGTTGATCGGGTCGGTTCGGGGTTGGCGGCACGGTTGTTATCGCGTTACCCTTGAGGGATTTGGGAAGTTTCCAGAAAGCTAAGTGGGATGGTTTTACTGAAGTTAGGGTGGAGTCCACCGTTCGTTTCGTGAGTCCGCTATGCGTGTTTTGACTTCACGCTGCAATTTACGTAGCAGTCTACGATTCGAGTTGGTAGAATATCTATCATAGACTCGAGTGACCGCGTCTTATTCTTGCGTCTCAGCAAGTCCCACACATCAGCTGGCAGGGCCCAGCGATGGTCTTCCATTGCTGGGACCTGTCTCGAGCATTGCTCGACGACGGTGTTAACGTGGCTTGTGAGAGCCCGAATTGAGGTCTCTGTGTCCTGTTTAGTTGATCGGGGATTGATTCTTATAGTGGAGGATTGGGATTGATTTGATTCATTAAATTTGGATCTATCTCTGGCACAAAGCCAGCTGATGACAGTTTTGGTTTGGGGAGCGGCTATTGCTGAGGACCGTAGCCGGAAAAGAACTGGTCGGTGATCGGAGTGAAGCTCGTGTATCACTTCCGGTTCGCATATGGAAAGACTAATGTTTTTGACGACTGCAATATCAAGCACATCCGATGAGTGTCCCTCTACGTAGGAAAAGTGCGTATGTTCGACGGGGGCTACGACTTCAAAGTCGAGCCTGTCGGATAGCGAGTCAAGTGCGGTGCCTCGACTGTTGATACGTGACGAGTTCCATCGGGTGTGGCCAGGCAGAATAGTGAATGGGCCCCTTTAAGCACGTTATAGTAAGGGATGCCAACTTAGGAAATTTCTTCCTAAATAAACGAATAAAAATATACAATGGAAATTTTTAAGAGGTAAATTTTTGGGAAGATTTTTAAGAGTTAAATTTTATTCACATTAAAAAAAAACAAAACGAAAAAGAAGAATATAATTTAATAGTGCTGTCCTGCTTTGGTGGACGTCAGACCAAGGTTTATGTGTCTTGTGTGTATATTTTAAGTTCTTCCGCCCTAAACTATAAAAAGTATTATTTCTTATATACAATACATAATTGAATTATTAACCCCCATGAGTGACAATATTTTTATATTTTTAAATTTTTAAACGTACGCCTGACCTTGTAGGACTCGCTGGTCTTAACAAATCTTTACAAAATAAAATTTAGTTAACATATTTTGGTGGATTACGCGAGCGTTAAATATAGATATTAGAAAACATAGTTTCGAAATCTGATATTTGAAATCGAAATCTGATCAGATACGGTTCTCAGAAAAAGCAGTTGCCAACTGTGTTTGAGAATAATAATAATAAAGTATCACATGTTACAAGTAAAGAAAAAAAAGTATTTGGAAGAAAAAAAAAGTATTTTTAAAAATTTTATATCTTTTGAAGATATATTTTTGTATGCTTCTAGCAAAAGTTTTTCACTACCTATACTTAGAAACTATCTTTGCATTCCCAATTTAAATAAAAGAGTAACTCATTTATAATTAACAACAAAAGTTTCTAATTTTCAACCGTCCTGTTCTAGCCTAGGAGCATCGATATAAATAAATATTTAAATATTATAATATAAGTTCAGTAATTATTCATACATTGTAAGTGTTTTGATTTTATGAATCACAGTAAATATTGAAAGTAAAGTATTTTCACATACTTTATTTTTATGCACAAATATAAAGTATTTTTTGATTTTAAAATAAAGTAAAACACGTTATTATAAAGTATTAGATGTCCCAGTAAACGTTGTTCGGCCATATAAATTATTTGTAGGGTAGAAAAACTGTTTAGGGTGGATCACCCTTAACATTTAGGGGGATGAAAAATAGATGTTGTCCGATTCTCCACCCTGGCCAATATGCACACAAAATATCACAAAAATCGGTCGAGCCGTTTCGGAGGAGTTCAATTACAAACACCGTTACACGAGAATTTTATACAGCGTGTCATTACAACCGCGACAATAAATGAAGGCATGTCTAACGCTACTTGCCAATAAGCATAAAAAATGTAAAACGTTAAAAAAAATCTATAATTAAAAAAAACATTTTTCAAACAAACTAATTACATATAAAAAGAAACAAAATTTGTAACACCTTTACAACTAAAACTGACTGATTCATATATTTGGACATTTTTTCATTACAAATCTCTCCTTCTAACAGTATGTTTTATCCTTTTC